GTCGTAACCACGTATCGATTACAAAGCGACGAAACCCTTCCAAAAGTGTCGCTCGACGCGGTTAAACGAGGTCCCGTTTCCGGGAAACCCGATTCAATTTTAACGAGAGAACTCCCATCACCAATCGAGACCGAGCGAATAAACGAGTCACGTGTCTCTTGGATAACTACGGGGATTCTTCGACGAAGGTATGCGATCGGTGAAGTTTTCCTTTCGACGTTGATCGCGACCGAAATACACACCCATCGTTTTCTCCGACAGGTTATTATTATTTCCATTCGATTACGATGGAGTGGAAATCGCAAAAGCTCCTCTGCCGAGAGGTTTAATTAGACACGCCGGCCATTTCGAACGCGACTCTTTCATCGGGATACGGCAAACTGTGATAGAAATTATCCTCGTGGCTCGTGGAAAGTTCGGTTTAATTACAGGATAAGTAAGGAAAGCGTGTACGTAACAGTCCAACCGAACTCGGTTCAGTCTCCTTCTGTAGAGCAGTTACGGGCATACGTTCTCGCACTTGGATGGACCACATCCAGGAAACGTTAATTAAACCGGTGGATCTCTCGAAAGTTTTGGTCAACTTGATTCAACGCGTATGACCGTTAGCCGCGTGAAGATCAACAGCTGTCACAGAATTTTTGCCGAATTTCATATTCGACAAAAGAGAAGCGTCGATGATGTTTCGGCTAATAAATCTCTGATGTCCCTAACACGAAACACGTGACGTATACGACGATCGAAATGACAAAGTTTCGCGACTCGGTCGAACAGAGACGTTCGAAGGCAACGAACCGCTATTTCCGTATGACCGATTGACTTCCCGAAGGGGCTCCGAAGAACATAAAAAAAGGGGAAGAATAAAAGTTAAAGACTGCGCGCGTTTAGCAAGAGACACGAACGGAAAAATGGATCGGAGTGGATAGAGAGAAAGAGGGGAGAAAACGCACAGATTCGACGGCCGGATCTAAGGGTGAATGCCGCTGGCAATAGCGAAGGTGGGTACGGAGGTGAAAGTAGCAACGATAACGGTAGCGGAGGGACGACCTGAAGGGTAAAGAGAAGAAGGTGGCTCGAGCAGGAACGAATAGGTGCGCGCGCCCTCGCGCACGTGTGACGAAAACGGAGCGAGCGAGAGGGCTCGAAACGGGGGGGATGACGTTGGTCGACGGGGGTGGAGAAGGAAGGGAAATCGCAACGACGATCAATACTTCGCCACGCCTCGCGCCACCACCTACCCTGCTGGTGCAAAACTTGACTTTCCCGTGGGTTTTGTCCGTCGGTCAAGAATAGTACCTAACCATTTTCGATGCTTTCCAGACGATACGACCGTTACTTTTATATACATCTTCCGAAGAAGACCCTCGCGTCACCTTCCTGGCACGGGCAGCTCGCATTCGATCAATCTTACGATTTCACTGAACGAAGCGGTTCGTCGAAGGGTTCGTCCCCGATACCATTCGACGGAACGATCCGATCGCGCGTTCGGTCGTTCGCCAACCAACGAACTTCTTGCTCGTTACGAAGGAATTGGAACTGCGTTTCGACGGTCGTGTACGCGATAAAGCGTCAGGAAGTAGCTTAGGTACGCGTGACCCCGTTCCGCGGGGTCACGATACGGAGAAATACGAAAACACGAGATGGCAGCACATTACGGTGATACAAAAAGTTCAAATATCGTTCACGTTTTTTCCTAGGATTTATACCTTTGCGGGGTTGCAATGGTAACACGGTGGAGCTAGTACTTCGGGAAGAAATCACGCTGTTAGTTCTGACGGTGCTTTTAATCCAGTAAAACAGCAATCTACTTTTCAAGCTTTTCCTTTGTTTAGATAGAATGCGCGATAAGAGTACGACACGCGTCCGAAAAATCCAAAGAACCGTTAATGTACGTCAGAGAGGTGAAACGTATCGCAAGGTTTAATATACGAATTTTGAGAATTGTGTATCTCTCGAATAAACCGCCAGGAATCCCCTCCCTGTCATTTCTTGGTCGACTGTATTAAGATAGCATGGCGTGCACGAACGTTTTTAGCAACCGATAACGAGAAAGCTGACATTGGACCACCTAATCTGTGGTTGCTTCAGCTGAATCTGCGTTTAAAAGTAAAACCAGCACTATCAAGGATGTGGGATTCGATTTTACGGGGCAAGCTTTCTTTTCAAGACACCAAAAAGAAAAAGCAACCCGTATTGAATTATCGAAACTCTTAACTGTATTGTGACGGCTAATCTTGCGACCGAAAATACCGGTGAACGGATGCAATCGCAACGTGGAGTACGTTTGCCGGGTAACAGGCGACAATAACGATGAAATTGCGCGAACGAATCTTCCATGACCATGGCACGGCTGGGCATGTAAATCTGGGATATCGTTGGATTACGATCGACACGATTCTTTCCTTGCCGATTCGTGACGGTGTTCCGCCGTGTGGTATCGGTGGTCGATCGAAACCAGGCCAGAAGGTTTTGCGCCGGGGCTAACGGCGACGAGTGTTTTCTCGAGACAACGGTGACCTGGGTAAGCGGTCGATCGTACAAGTCCATCCTAGGATCTTCGGAACCAACGTTCGAAGCGAAAAGGTACCTCACGAATCTGGGAATATGTTCTTTTGTAATAGGTTTTCGAAGCAGTCGGTATCGTTCGCGACCTGCCACTGCATTCGTTACCGCAGATTTTTACCGTGGTACTTCGATGCACGTCGAGAAACCGTGTTACGTCTGCGACCGTAAACCGGGAGAATACCAGTCTCTGTTCCAAAGCAAACTAGCCAGAAGGAAGGAAACACCAGAAAAAAGACACGACTGGTCGAAATTTTTGCTCGCCACGCCCTGTTTTCGTCGAAACCGAATACGGAAGGGTCGGTGTACGAAAATGGGTGCTTGAAACGCAAGAGACAGGGGGTTATGGGACGACGGCAACAGAAAGAATCCTTTTGCGAAAAAAAGCAAGGCTGCCTGTCCGTGGACATGGAGAAAATGAAACGAGACCGTGTAATGATTTTGAATCGCACTCGCGAAATATGTACGTGACCGGGTCGAACGACGATGACGAGAAACTCGAACGGAGTGGAAAGGCCCGGGGGGGAGATGCAAAGAATTCGTAGCCGCGGAAAGATTCCGATTCGTCGTGATCCGTGAGCAGAAACGAATAGGTTAATGACACGAGATGGTAAATGGAAAGGCCTCCGATATCGATCGCAACCGGCGAAGATTGAGAAGAGATACAAACGTACAGCGGCGACGGTGGAGGCCTATGTATCGATGCCGCTTGGTCGTCGTGTCGGCCGGGTCGTCGAAATAAAGGGTCCGTTTTCGAAGCGGACAGAGAAGAGAAACGAGCGGTGGTCGCGAACAAGTGGCCGACACGAAAATAACGCGTGCAACTGCCAACTCGACACTGGTTTTATGCGTTTTAAGGCAATGTATGCTAGGCGGGCGGCCGGAACACCATAAGAGGTTAGAGCTCGGCGAATCAAATCGGTTTCGTTAGATGATCCGAGGGAAAGTGTGCACGGGAAAGCCAACGTATAGACGAGAACGGGGGTGCCGCCGCGAATCGTACGACGATTCTCGTGAATAGGCAACGCGAGAAAAAGCGATACACAGAACAAGAAAGAGAAGATATACGGGTAGAGACCGAGAGGGAGAAGGAGAGGGAGAGAGAGAAAGAGACGGGAGGCGAAGAGAGACGAGAGCGAGCGAGCGAACGATCGGATCGGAGGTTAACCTGTCAGTTGGCGGATCGATTCACGGGCAAAACGATGGCATTATATAATTTCGAGTACTCACCTGGGATGGTGGATGCGTGGCGGCCGTGCACACGACGGTAGCGCGTATCGGCGAACGCGAATCGGCGGAATTCACTAGGTTCACCGTGTACCGCACCAAAAAAGAACCTCAAAATTTATCACGAAAACATGATCGGAGAACTTTGATGAAACGGGCAAGGAAGGAGCCCACTGTCGAAGCACCAACACTCGATGACGTCATTCCACCAGCGGCAACATGGAGCCCGAAACGCGATAGGACGCGGGCTCGAGAGAGTCTCGAGTCGGGTCTCGGTTCGCCTCGACAGCTGTCCCTCGAGCTAACCTCAAATCGGTGGTTCGTTCGCTCGCTCGGTGTGCCCCCGCGTATTCGTCGCCGCGCGAACCCTCTCGACTACGGACTGACAACGACCGACACCCGCCTACCGTCCGACACCTCTTGTCCTCTTGTTTGCCTTCTCTCGCGGCCCTGCGGGACTCTAATCCCCGCTCCTTTTTCCACGTGATTTCCGAGGGAACGCTAAAAGAGGGCAGTCGCGCGCGCGCGCCCCGCGACTGCGATTCCTTCACTGCGGGAATCCCGATATTCGAAATCGAAGCTGCGCGTCGCGATGCCTCCTCCGCTTCGTACAGAGGATAGCCTGTCGGTCGGACCCGAGTCAAGCCGAATCGAGAATCGTCTGCTCTCGGGACCGTTCGTATCGCCTCGTGTCGTGTCGCCAACGAAACGCCATAGTCGTTCCCCTAACCTCGCTTTCTCGTTCGGTTCTCCTTTGCTATCTCTTCTCTCGGAAAGATCCCGTTCGAGTACACAGCCGTTCTTCGAATCTTCGACGCGATATCGAACCGACCCGATGCGACTCGGACACTCGTCGCTCCTATCGTAACGTCGACTTTTCGTCCCGGATCGTCCGAACGAACCACGGTCTCGTTTCGGGTCGAACGCGATACGTCCACTAAACACGGGAGTACGCGCGTATCTCGCGTATCTCTGTACGCGTCCCGCGCGTACAGATACCAAGCAAAGGGATCGAATAAACGAGCAACAGAAGATTCGACACCGCGTTCATTCGTCGGCGCGTAATCGAAACGATCCGCGCGACGATGAAAGAATCCGATTCCTCGGATTGATTAATAGAAACCAAACAACGCGCCGCGTCGAGCTGCGCCGTCACAGGGTAGGCAACGCGCGCGCACCTTAAACGTCGCCGCGTCGCTTCGGCACACAAGGTGGACATTGTGTTCACGGCAAAGGAGGAGAAATGCCGTCGTCTCCTTACGTGTCACGGATCAACCAGATCGACGCAGCGCAATTGGACGATGAAATCTACAAAGTGCTCAGGAATCAGGTAAAAAGGATTACCGAGTATCAACCGGTGGAGAGGATCGATCGATGGCAGCCAGAAATCGACGCGCTACTAAAGTTTCTTGTATGGAACTTTTCGTTGCGCGGCGGAAAATCGACCTTTGGCCAACAACTGCTCAATTTGCATTACGGGAATATCAACCGTACGAAGTCCGTTCTCTACTTGATTCTGATCGTCGTCCCGGCGTATACGCGCGATAAACTCCTCGACGGTGCCGGGAATCGACGATTAAGTTCGCTCTTCGATCGTATCGCGAACGTCGCGAAGCTGCTCGAGTTTATCAATTTGTTGATCTTCCTGCATCGAGGAACGCAGCCCCGCCTCGTCGAGTATTTGCTGGGAATCCCGAGCCGTTCCACGACTACTCACAAACCGAGAAACATCGGATATTCGTACATGACCAGGGAACTACTCTGGCACGGCCTCATGGAACTGTTCACCACCGGTTTACCTATGATCAACTTCCATTATTTGAAGCACACCATTAAGAACCTTATCCCGCGGAGGAACCGTGGCAACGTACGAAGATCGTTTCCAACGATGAATTCGACGACCAAATGTGCCTACTGTAACGACACACCGATCATGCCGATGCACGCTGGTTGCGAGCACATTTTCTGTTATTATTGCTTGAATGCACACTTTGTAGCTACCAACGAATTCGAGTGTATGGTATGCGGCACGCAACTTCGCGTTCAAGACGCGAAGACGTACGAGGCAAGATCCGCTATGTCGTACTCGAAAGACGAGGCCGCCAAAATGATCGAAAGCGCGGGCCACGATTCGTAAATTGAACCGCGCGCAACTACTCTCGATGATTCTGTCGATGCAACTACAATTTCCATGTTTCTGTAGGATCGTGCATGTACATATATACATATACAATATATATATATATATATATATGTGTGTATATATATACCATTTTTTATTAAAAAATAGCAATACAAAATCTTTATTCGCTTGGATGCATCATTTCGATTTCCTCAACGTTCCTTTCGAAACAACCGATTATGGTTTAGGTATGATACATACGTTGCTTATCGGAATTGCTAGATTACCGTACAAAAATATCATGCCGCGTTATCGTAAAACGATTTTCCAATTTCGTACATCGAACGCGATGCGCGACGATTCACGCGTTGCTCGTTAATTCGTTTAACGGTTCAATGAGCGGGGAACGTCCCTCGATTTCTCAAACGAGAGTCGTCGATGATACGTACGAAACATCGGCGAATACGTTTAACAGACAAGAAAAAAAAATTCTTTTCATCCCGCTTTTTCGTCTTGAACGCGTAACCACACCCGTTTTCCCCAGTCGCTGGAATGTTTTCTCCTTCTATTCGATTCTGGCGTGTACACACCCCGCGAACGAATAGAAACGTTGCGTCGTTTCATCGTTTCGTTTTGGAAAGACTACGAAAATCAGCCGTCGCGCAGAATTGCGACCGTAACTATCCGGAACAGGTTACCTGAGATAATTATCGCCACCGTATCCCGTTATTATAATACTAAATTCGTTGACCGCGCGGTAAGACTTGGTTAACCCGACACTTACAGGCACTAGTGAAAGCTTCTTGAATCACATTATTTAAGTATACCTTACATTTCCTAAGTCGAAAGAAACTCGAGTACGCGTTACCGGAGTAAACACGGGATAAAATACCTATGTAATATGTTTTCGGAGCGAAACGGAACGTGATAGTATTCGGTTTTTTTGCCTCTCAGAAGGAGAATCGTGCGGTTCTACTTTCGGTATCGTCTCTCTCCCTCTCTCCCTTTCCTTTCGTTGGTACAAAATTGCATCACGGCCATTGCGAACAAGAAGGAGAAAGAGGGACGGTGTCGGCAATGAAAAACTGAAAATAGAGTGACTTATATCGTTTCGAATTCGCCCTTGATGCTTGAACTCATCATTGTCGCGTCTTTCAATATCATCGTTCGCATGCATTCTTCATGTTTTTCTTCTTTTCCTTTTTCTCGTAATTATAATTCTCGTAACAGCTACTTTATTCGCTAATTCGTGCAAAATTAATATATGTATATGCGTATATATATATATATATATTAGATAGGAACATCGAAGAACAGTGATATAATCTATCTAAATGAAAAAAACGAAATTCCGATCGATCACGCGAGAAAGTAGTGCCAGTGAACGAAACGAACCTGCGACGAGAGAAACCAGTCTCGCGACCATCGATCAGGATTTCACTCTGAAACAGCGATCGACACTGCAATTTAACGCTCTGCGACGTTCCATCGCGTATCGCCCAAAAAAAACAAAAAAACAATCACTTCTAGCCACGAGAGCACGCGGCAAATCACAAGTATGCCCTCCGTCCGATCGTTGCAACCATCGAACGAATCGCGAAGACACGTTCGAAGTGAGCGTCTTTCCTTTATAATATATGCGTATGTATTACTTTCATCGTGATACGATCACCGTTAAACGAACACGAGGAACAGGGACGACCGGACAGTCTTGTTAACAACACACACGCGTAGAAAACACATAGAGTATACTCATCTTTCTAACATCTCGATTGTTCTCGAGCACGCGACCGTGCTTCGCCAAGAAAAATAATTTATGCTTAAAAAGACTTCACAAAAGACTTAGTCAAGAACTTTCAGCGGTAAAATTGTTCGCTAGGCACTTTTCGGTAAGCTCGGCCGCGACGTTTTCCCGACTGCCATCGTACCGGATCGATGGAACAATTTCTATTCCTGACGACACACAAAGTAACGGCACGCCTGGAGTCGCGTTCACGGAATTCGTCTGTTCCCAAAATGTTGTCAGTTACAGCGAGCGGAGCGTGAGCTCGTTACCTAACGCATCTTGTTTCATTTATGCCCCCAAAAAAAAAAAAAAGAAAAAAAAAAGGTTTAAAATATCAATAATTTATACCGAGCGAGATATCTTAGCTTCGTAAAATTGCTACTGTGTAAATGGAACCGCGAACGCGTACGTGTACCGGTATACCGCAACAGAATCAATTTTCCTCGAGTATGTTTATCGAGTACGTGAATAAAATAGGATGGAGCGATCTCACGGAGGGGCGCGCGCTCGAAATAGTCGACCGTACAATGATCGATCGCGCGGCTACGTTTTTTCACGGATACTTTTTTGGACCTACGGAGGTTTCAATATGCAAACAGCGACGAATCCATCGAATCGCGCCGAACGGTCCCCGACAAAAGTATCGTCGAGCGTTCTCCTTACGCTCCGCGGGAGAAAAAGTTCTTGCAGTCTGTTTTTGCTCGATGTGCGTTCAACGTCCCTCGCGAGTGAATAATAAATACTTTGTTACTTTGTAAAACTCAAAAAGGCGGTGACGCCGGTAATATGGCTGGTGTTGCCTGAATCACTAGAGTGTCCTCGAGCCGTGGAGTTTCGCTCGGACGCGACGCGAGCATGCGTTCCCATCGCGTTTCGTCCATCGATGCCGGGCACAGAGGCCCCCCGACTGACCGCCAAATTTCGAGCTTAGTCGAGATTAAATATTTTAACTTGCCTAGGGTGGAAAGATCATTGAACGCACGAAACCATCCCTCGCCCATCGAGTGTTTTAAAGCCTCGCTTCTTCGATATACCACGTTACATTAATTCGACCAACCGTTATCACCGATTTACTTATTGTACGCCTTTTCGTTGCACCGCGCCCACGATCTCTTCGCCGTTACACAGAAACACAAGAAGTACAAAGCGACACGAACGCGATCGCTCCTGGAGCATCGGTTCACGCCCAAATTTCAATAAGGCGACCACGAAGAAACATCGATTGTGCCGAGTATCGCTCGACCAGAGAAAGACCATTTCTTTAGCAACATAGAAAAACAGTTAACGAAACGAAAGTAGTAACGAGCTTCTTAACCTAAGGCACCTTCCGACCGAACGTGAATCGAGGACTGCAGGGCGAAAAAAAAAATAAAAAAAAAAAAAAAAAAGAGTGGAAACGGTCCTCGACCACAAAAAAAGAATCGTCGAGCTATTCTTCCGGCGCCTAGAATCGGAAATTAACTTACTAATTATACTCTTCGTCCCGCCGTCTGTCGAATCGGCGGGAAAGCCCGCGTGATTCGATTTCGATTTACTACTCGTTCTCGTGTTCTCCGATCGAAAACACGATTTCTGCGCCCAAGCGCAGCACGAGGACTTTAAGTACCACAGCCCGAAATGGATCGTGTGTATATCCGTTTCGCGGGAATGTCGCGAGTCTCGCAACGGTATCGTCGTCTTCTCTTTACCACTTTGTGTCCAGATTGCGCTTCTCCATCGAAGTCGAAGTCGTCGACGCGGTTGCTTTGCGCTCCGCGCCCGGGGCCGCGCTGCCACAGAACGGACTGGTTCGTTTGTTCAATTCTGGAAGCGAGACACGAGCACGTGCGGATTAGAGAGAATGAAAACAACAAGAGTTTCCGGGACCACCACGGTTTCTTCGGTTAAAGGTGCGTCTCCATTATAGCAAAACCGAACATTTAGACATAATGGAGAACACAAAACAGTCCGATCGGCATAATAGAGACGCCCCTTAAGGCTACCGACGAGTCTACGTACCAGCGATCAACAGCATTATTTTGCGCCTCGCGCCCCAAGCGGTTATTCCGATTTCGCACAGATCCTTCTCCGTCAACGAGGGAAATGTGGCCATGTCCACTTCGTGCGACGTGAACAGGCCTGGCGAACAAAAAAGCAAGCAGCGTGTACATATAGCGGAAGCAGCGTTTGAACAACTAGATGAAAGCAAGCGTTCGATTGGGAAAGCGTCGTCTCACGTGGAGTTTTTACTTACGAATATATTTTTCCAATCCGACGCTGGTCAGCATGCTGGTCAAGTCGTTGTATCGATGAGACGTGATTTTGTTCAGATGCGAAGTTGGAGTGTGGTCCATGTAGTTCGAGCTGATGCCGATCTGTCCAACACGATCTTTGCCGGATACGATTCCGAAGTCAATGTCTCTGCTGAATACCGGTGTCGTTGGTTCTTTCCATAAATCGGACGGATGAGTAGTGGCAGCGGTGCTGGTGGTGATACCGTTGTTATTGCTGCTGATATTGCTGTTGCTGCCGATGTTGGTCAATTCCTGCGATGGAAATAAACGGTTACACCGTTTCTTTTGCATTGACCGAGAGAAGAGGGGGGAGGAAGAGGAGGACTGTCTCGATCGTCGTGCGAAGAATACCGTCAGTTTTACCTTGCTCAGGTCGGTCGTATTTATAGGAGGAATGGATTGACTTAGCCCGTAGCCGGACCAAGCGGATGTCGGTACACGATACTCGTTCGAACTCGGTTTCGACTGCATCGCTTTCGTGGCCAAGATTTTCTTCTGCTCGTACTCGAAAGGAGTAAGATTCTGTTGCACAACCATTTCCAACGTTTTCTTCTCGCAGCCGGGTGCTCGCCGATCGGTTACCGAAAATCCGGACAGCATGCCGGATAAATCTACGGAAATCGACGGATTAGCTTATGCAGAACCTATATATTGTTGCGACGGACATCGTTAGTTAGGACACTCACCTAAATTGGGACTAGTCTCGGCAGGATTGACCGGAGATGCATTCCGGGGACTGATGGCAGGACTGGACAGAGAACTGGACGCGCTGCTCAACGACGAATAAGCTGTAAACGCAAACGGAAATAAATAAAAATCCCTGGGGAAACCAACAAAGTCGCAGTTACTTCTGTTTGAGGACTACGGAAACTTACCGCTGCCCTCTTTTCGGTCGGCCAACGAACTACCGTTTAGCCCGTGAACGCCGTGAAAGCCGGGTGGCATGCTACCCCCGTGCATCTGACCGATACCGTTGAAACCGTGATTCTGCAGCCCATGGGCATGCGGTGGAATCGCGTTGTTGTGCATCATGTGTTGCGTGGTCAACAAATGATTGAGGTGCGGATACGGATAGGAGTGATGATGAAGCTGCAGCGGCGAAAACATGGACGGTATCGATGGTAAACCCCAGTGCGGCGATAGTCCCATCGGGTTCGGCGAATGGGGCACAGGTGACACGCAATACGGAGGATTCTGCGTGTTCACCGTCAGCATACTCGACAAATTCTCCGACAGACCCGCGACCAGATTGTTGGAACCTGCGTGAGTCGCGATCGTTTAAATCGATGGGTCGAATTTCCACGTAGGTACGAAAGGTAAAACGTTCGTGCTTACCGGTGCTGTTGGCGGAGTTACCCTGAAAAATATTGCCCGCGTTCGGGATATGATACGTAGCTGGTATCTCGGCGTGGACTCTGGGCTCGTCCAGGCCTAGAAGCTGTTTCCTCGCCTCGTAAATGTTACCGGCGTTTCGCTCGATCCCCTTGATGATCACGGAAAGCGTGCTCTGCTTTGGTTTATGCCGTATGTTTATGAACACGTCCAACGACTGCATCAGCTGAGAAATGTTCTCCGTGTCGACGGTGGACATGGAATCCTCGGGAAGATCGAACATCAGAACCAGCGGTAAGGAACCCTAATCGGAGAAATTGTTTTTACAGCTTGTTTGATTTATTTATCGCAGGATGCGTGGAGTCGGTTGTCGTCTGGTTTCGAATGATTCGCGAAAAGAATCATCGTTATCGTCGTTCGATAGTCACGGACCAGAGAACGAGAAGCAATAAATCGCCGAAAATTTATCAAGTCGACGAAAAAAGAACTGAGAAAACAGAACGAAAAAAGATAAAGGGGTCTTTCCGCCGATACGGGGCGATAAGAGTACCGAAACGGTTGAACAACATGACCTACCACTAACTGTTGCCGAGCCAAGTAGACATTGTGGATGCCACCTGTGATCGTCACGTTGCTTTTCTTCAAGCTGGGAATGTTTGGATCGCCCGCGTCTGGGAACATGATCTGCGTGGCTGTTCGTTGCATAATCATCTTCAGATTACTGCTCTGCTTCCCCAGCACGATACTGTGATGCTGCGGCGAGATCTCCATCGACATTTGTACTTGTATTTGACTCTGAAGGGAATAGAGACGCAAGGGGACAGGTGAGATAACATCAACGATCGAGCATAAACGTCAATTCGCACGATCGTACTCACAGCTAAGTTTTGGCACATCGAGTGAATCAGCAACACGGTTGCTTCTTTCACCTGCGACACCTCCCATTCGCAGCCCTTCACCACGACCAACGTGGCGTGCAATTTCGGCCGCGTGCGAAACATAACTTGAACGTTGTATTTCTCTTGGATCTTGACCACGTACGGCGATGTGGAGTCCGGAACGGACTGCGAGGCGCCCATGATCGGCAATTCGAACGAAAATATCAGCGGCGTTAAATTCTGCAAAGACGAGCGAAAATTTCATGATCGGTCCGTGGCATCGAATCGCCAAGATGAAAGACTCGATCCTTACCCTGACTCGAGCACGAGCCCGTTCGACGCCCTCCATTTCACCGGCGATCGAGACTTGATTGCTCTTTTCTTGGTGATTGCTCCGGTTACTGTCCGGAAAATGTATGTGACAACCGGTTTCCTCCATCACTCGTTTAATCGTCAGACCGCCCTTTCCAATGATATGCGAATGGTCCGTGTAACTAACGTCCAACTTCATGGTGACTCGGTTGCTTTGCTGCAATGGAAATTCCGTCATCGATACTTTCCTTACGTACAGCAAGTAACACGGAACGTACGACGGGGCTGTTTCACGGTACGTTGATTTTCGCGCTGAAATTTTTTCGAACAAACCGACGCATAAAAGCCGTCCGACAGCGTGCTGGTTAGGTGAACGGTAACACCGTTCGCGTTGTTTCGTTCTATCCATCTGAATCGGAGGAAAGCGAAACGCTTACGCTTCGCGGGTTTAGGTGGCGTTGTTTGCGTCAACTGGACTTCCGACCCGTAAACAGATGACCACTGGTGGATGACCATCGAGACCGTCCTTGCATAGATCCGGCCCGATAATCGTCCTTCGCCAGTGAATTCGATAACAGCTCGTAGTAGCGAGTTGCGTTTTACCTTGCAAGAGGTGGTGGGGGGGGGGGGGGAGAAAAAGAGAGGAAGGTGGAAGAATCGTGCGTGGTTAGCGGAGGAAGGTTACGTCGCGTCGGAGATAACGGTATACGCGAAAAGGAAGTATTGTATGTATGTATGTAGAAGGTAGCGAGCGATTCGAGGCGGACAGACCTGGCTGTTCGGTGGTTAAACGTCGAGAGAGCAGGTTCGTTTTTGTCTGTTCTCGTCGTGGCGCACCGCGTCTCGCTTTCTCGGCTGGGAATTCGCGAGACAACGTCCGCGCGCGTATAAATAGAATGGCTGCTTCTTCCTACGCGGTGTTCTTCTTCGACCCCTTTCCGGCTTGCTCCGGCGCGAGACTAGTCGGAGCGTCACGACGAACAGACCTCCGGGAGGTTTCAATTAGTCGTGAACGATTACGCGGCTACCGATCGTCCGGCGATTAAGCCGAAACGCGTGTGTAAATCTGAACACGACGCGGAAAGGTTCGTGGACACGGTGACGAAAGTTTTCCACGATCGGAAAAGTACGTATCGTGTCGTGGGAAACGGTGGGAACTTATCTCGTTCGTTATGGGTAACCCAAGATTATGTCGCGTATGAAAAAAAAAAAAAAATCAATATCACGATATCAATTAAACGAACACATTGTTACCAAAGAGGTTTCCCTGCGTACAACGGGCAAGCCTTCTTTTTTTTTTTTTTTTGCGCTGTTATCTCAACACGCGATGGATTATCTGCGATAACAAGCGAAGAAATGTTTGCCCGATCAATTCGGCGCGCACTGAAAGTCAAAAGCCGATCGGCGAGGTCACAGCTAATCTCGTACTCGCGAATGACGTAATGTTTCGGTAAAAAGGAACGGATCGCTGGTGACAGTGGTCGCGCGATCTCACAGCGCGGTGTATTTATATTACATTTTTCTTTTGGAATTCCGAGATTTTTCACGAAATACGTTTTTAGACGTGGAAAGTACCGGTGGATGCCCAGAGAAGAATAGAAAGGAAGAAGAGAAGAAACACGACAGATGAATGGCTTACCCTGGTGTCCAAAATTTCCATTATCTTCTCCTTAGCAGCTCTCACGTCATCGGGTCGACCCGCGACCTTTATATGCGGATCTGTAAAAAGACAGTCGAAAGAAATTATGCAACAACACCGCAATAAGTCACTTATTCTTGCGTGCAAGCATCGACGAGCACTGGATCGACGAGAGACGCCCGATCGTTCGTTCGTTCGCTCGTTCGCCCTCGGTCGAGAGGTTGTCCGGCGAGGAAATGGCTTTTAATATTCTCGAAGCGCGGTCTCGTCGAGCGTTTTTTCTTCCTGTATACGAAACGATCCAAAGTCGAGGACGATGACGCGTTGCCGGGTAAAACACGTCGCGACATATTCCTCGTCTACGGTCAGTCGATCGGAGGAACGCGTGAAACGTTCGCCCGGCATTCCAGCCAATCGACGAACCGAACGATCCGGTTAGTTTTCGAACGGACTCAAACGTTGTTCTCGCAACCAACCACATTCGTAATCGCCATTCTCGCGGTACAGTAAATCCTCGATGAGTGTCCGAAGGGTCCTTGGCACTGAACATTAAATATTTCATAGACTAATGGTCATATGTGGCTGAAACGAATATCATTAGCTTCGGAATTCCAAACTCTATCGCGGTATTAAACCTCATTAAAAAATCACCGTTACACCCGGGAACCTTTCCTTGTCAATGCCAAAGAGCCTTCTAATACTCATCGAGGATTTACTGTCTTCGATATTGTCGCGGGTAAAAGATCGCGGAAAATTTCAGCTGTCCGAATCGTGAAAATATTTGAATCGGATCGTTTCCGTGGAACGCGCCACACCTGTCGTTCTGGGAAACATATATCGGAGGTTCTGGGAACGGAATTTTTCCAAATGATCGATACCCGCGAATTCGGCTTAAAAATAAAGGGAACTGGTACGAAACTTGACCCGACCCGAATCGAATCGAATCGAATCGAATCGTATCGAAACGGTGACCCAGAAATAGATGGCGAACGACCTTCGCGATTCTAAGCCAAGCATTCTCTTAGTATCCATGTAAGTGTACACGTCGAATGAAATAACGACCGATTGCCTGGGATCGCGATCGATAGGTCGCCGGTAAACGAATCGAGGTGACGACGACACGACGGACAGAAACGAGCGACACACGATCGCTGACCATTTTCGCCCGTATAATTCCCTACATTACGTAACCCCCGATAAACTCCGCTTTCCGTGCGTGTTGTTCGCGCGAAAGTTGCTCGCCGCCGCGCCGGTGCCCTCGTCGTATCGCCAGGGAACACATACACGTACGTATGTATTTCGTTCACGCGGAAACCGAGCGCACGGTGTTTTCAAAGTCGCGAACCGAGCACTCGAAAGCCTCCGAGAACGTGTTAATACGTAGATGCAGTATCCGAGGACGTCATCCTGAGCTTTAACCCTAAAACTACGAGCGTTGAATGTACACTAAATTAAAGTGTATAATATAATAATATACGAATCATATAGTACAATTTAGTATAACATAGTATAAATATATAGTGAATTAAAGATCAACGTGAATACCACCAAAAGTACTATGATAATTGCAGTAATCGTAAATTACGATATCTGCAATCCGTCGTTTTGACGGGTCTCGTAGTTCTAGTATCAAACAGTTAATGAGATTAAATAATTGCTTGCCAAATGTGGACCTATTAAAGAGGAAGTATCATTTCATTATAAAAATTTTCCACGGTTTAAACGATTATAAATGACGAACTACTTGCTTTTTATCTTCCGTTCGAAACTCATTATCTAAATAATGAATTTGCCCATCTCAATCGAGAACTTATCGATCGGAGCTCGTGGTCGTCGTCATCGTGTCCCGTTGACAGGTGAACATACATCGATCGGCAACCGAATTCTACGTTCGCTCGACCTTTCGTGGGTCCCCGCGAGGCTCGCGAAGTCCCGTTCGTTTGCAAAAAGATAACGTCGCTCATTTTCGAAATTAAAAAAATGGGATAGCAGTTATTCCGGATGATATACTATTTCGCCCGTTGCTCGAGTTATCTCGACGTCCGACGCGTATCGCGGGTTGTCCCTATGCAAGCGCCGATAAAGCCCCGTTCACGCGTGTCGCGAACCGACTTTCGTAACTCGACGAATTTTTCCGTCGAACTTTCGGGCTGTTTCCCCGACGAGCCGTCGAATTCGAAAAGCGCTTTCTTCGCGACTCGACCGTCGAACGTCGCCGGTTTTCGATCCGAAAATCGATACGACCCGACGACTTTGTCTGTTTACTGATTCCTCGCTTCGATAATCGTAACGCGACTTTTATCGGCGACGATACATCGTAATCGGACGCGAATCGCGGTTGTTCGACGAAAACGGTTTCTTCCAGAAACGAATGAACCGAAAATAAAGTTCAGTATTAACGAACGAATTCGAAAGTAAGGTTCAATATTGACGAATGAACGGAAAATAAGGTTTTTAATTGTGAATTATCCGAACAGTGTATTTTCGTTGACTGTACGCTCCTTTTGCCTCGGTTTGGAAATACGGGAAATCGTTCGAACGGACTCAACATCGGCGGAGCAGGAGTAGCATAAGATCGTGATACGATCGGAAGGAAAGTCATCACAGAAAAACCGTTGCATAACATCACGATTGTCGAGACTAGATACAACCACCGCTCGGACCCCGCGCCTCGACCTTTTAAGGAGTCGAAAGTAGAATATTTCTATCGTCGTCGAATATCGCCAGTCCGCGAGCCAGCTTTCGTTCGAGCGGCTTGGAATGCGCGGAATCGATGAAACATTTTAATCTGCATTGTTTACCGATACTTCGCGATGGGATCGTGATTCATCGGAACCAGCAACGGGATTACCGAATACCGAAGAACCAGCTGGATGTCTCGAAGATAGTTTTTTCCACGTACGAAGGAGGAACAGGCGTTCTCCCACGAGGGAGGCGAAGCTTGTCGCAACAAACTTAGAAAATCGGTAGGAGGCGGACCACGCTGGGAACCTATTTATAACGCGGGGTTACGAGCAGTTGTGTCGCGAACGATCGACGACGATCCGTTCGGCCAAAGGACGCGGGAAAGGGGGGTTAGAGGAGAAAGAGGAGTAAGCAGTAAGCACGAGGTGGAGGAGGAACGCAACAGCTGTTCGGGTCACGGGGAACGGATGAATCACCGAAAAGTTTCCACACGGCGGCGAACGCGCGAAAAAAATTGCGAGGCGCCGAGGCGACGCGAGTGGAACAGGAAACCGACCGGAGAACAGTCGCAGTCGCGATTCTCGCGGTTACGCGAATCGTCTGGGATTTCTCGGCTCGACGACAGCGGACGTTGCTCGGGTTCTACGGGCAATGTCGGTCGCGTTTTATTTCACCGTCCGCGACACGCGCTGCTGCGCCAGAGCCAGGCATGCGAGTCTCGTTTCGTAATCACTTTCGATTAATGGGTGCGCTCTAATTAATCCCGTGGCTCGCGGTATATCCGTGCCCCGCTACGTGATTTTTCTTCGACTCGACCGAGTCTGGGACCCTGGTCCTGGGAGGTTTGGTAGCAGTTTGTAATCGGGGAACTGAAACAACGACCGAGGCAGCTAAAAGAAAATGCAACGGATTTGCAGAAATTGACACGCTTTTGCAGAATCGAAGATTACGACTGCGTCAGAAATGAGGAACGCGAGAATTTCGTGCGTACGAACCGTAAATAGACGTCGTAGCGGACTACGCGGATGCAGACGTCAGCGGTCGAGCAAAAGCGACGCAACCTAGGGATCGCGACGTAATCGACTGACGTGTATACGTAACGAGGTTCGATCGATAAACGACCAGAGAATACAGCGATACCACTCGCGAATAGAGGCGTTCTGGCTCGAGTTCGGATTTGTCCTCTCAAGGTCACGAAAGTCATCGAACCTCGAGACAGCTGGGGGACACGTCAGCGGAACGTTTCGTTCTCGTTTCCGGGTGGACGTTCGCCTCGCACGAAACTTTCGACACATCATCGAGATCCTTGGCGATCGAACGAACGGGGGGACACGCACAGTTTTGCGATTCCGAGTAGCGGCGAACGTGCGACCGCGGACGCACTTACCTTTCTTCGACTTTGCACCGATCTTGAGTCGGGCCGGCCACGTAACGAAGGTGTTCGTTTCCTCCATAACCTGCAACACAACAAAATGATCGTTTGAATCGCGCAGTTTTCAGTCGCGATCGGTCGTACAAGAAGATGATCGTGATTTTTAACAACGTTTACAACGCGAGTATATTACCACGGTCATTGTTGTCGATTTTTCGGATATCTCCGGTCGATTATACGGGTTCTCCTCGATATTCGCTGGCTGTTACGGCCGCGGTGAATGTACAAATAGTCTGGGTCGGTCGGAAACGAGGAAAAACGAAGAGGAATCGTATGCACGCGTCGGGTTCGCTACGCTTTGTTCGTGGTTAGCGATCGGATATCCTGGCTCCGTTGGAGAGAAGACTGGGGCATGATGGTCTTTCGATCTCTCGTCGGACTCGTTCGACGATTGGCTCGGTACACCAGGGCGGAAAAAAATCTCGTGTGCGAAGTGAGCTGGCTTCGTTGCGATTTACTTTCACCGAACGAAACTATCGTGATCCATGGAACATCCCGTTCGGCGCGTTATCCGTTTGTCTACGTCCTGGACCATGCGCGCCGATCGTGTCTACAGCGGGGAGATTTCCGTTTCGGGTTTTGTACCAACGAAAATTTATCCGTGATTCTTTCGTTAGTCTCCTTTCACTCGAAGCACTACCGTAGGCGGGCTGCGGAGTCCACGACCGACTTCGACCCGTTTTCTTCCGGATCAGGTCGCCCCGTATCACCCCGATACGAGACCGACAACTTTCGCGCACACTTTTCACACCCCTCCGTTCGTAATCGGCGCCCGTCTAGGTATATACCTATCAACCGTGTGCCGTTCGAACGAGCTTTGCTTTTCACGGTTCGAGATTCGTCGGAACGTGCTCTGTGTCGCGTCGCCTCGGCTCCCGTTTTTACCGTTCGCGTCGAGAACGCTGGCACGACTGACTGACTAACAGCGAATAATGTAACGGGACGGCTCGGTGAACCGCCTCCCACTCGACACCGTCATCGCCCGATCCGTCTGCTACGTTCCCTCCACCCTTTCTCCTCCCCGTTCACCACCGACGCGGCGACGCGACGGGTCGAGAAACGACCGAGACCACCGCTCCACACCGACGAATAACCCACGGTTAGACTGCTGCACACCCGGGGACACGAGAAACAGAGTTCTCCTCGCGCGTTTTCCCGACTCGACCCGACTCTACTCGACACGACCACGACCACGCTCGAGCTCCGATTCGAGACTGAGGGGGGCGATTTAAAGTCCTAGTCCGGGACGAACAGGTAGTTCCCTCGTTTCAAACTCACGCCGCTATCCCGAGCCACCAGCGGAACTTCCAATCCCCTTTGGACAGGTGCAGCCCGCAATTGTCCCGATTTAACCGAACCGATCGTGTCCTCGGTCCCCTTGTATGTATACCAATGAATATTCCATCCCGTGTATGACCCACGCCGCCCCACTGATCGATTCCAAGTAACAAAGTACTAGAGCAAAGAGGAAGCAGGGACCACTAACGTTTCTGAGTGGTTCAAGCACGGGCAATTTGTCGAGTTCCTCTCGGTCGATCGTGTCCACTCGAACCGGGTGTATATTCCCTAACCCTGGATTCTCTACCTGGAATCCTGGAAGCGATAGATTTTGCGTGGCAGGTACGGTCGTAAACGTTCGTGTAAGACGATTTCCCCGGGTAAATCCGGATACGATTCCGGTAAAAGGTGAATTGCACCGAACTACGGGAGAACTCGTCGATTGTTTCTGTTGAACTATTTATGTTTCCGTGTACATAATATGTACATAATATTATATTCTTTCGGCTTTCAAAGTCGCGGCGAATCAACCGCGAAACGAACGAAATCGTAACGAAAAGCAAGAGCAAATCCTCGGACAACGAAAATCATCGCAAGGTAGATTCTTCGTCGAAGTATTTCAACAGAAATCACGGCAGCTGTACAATAGACGAAAACGTTCGGTGCTTCCAGTTATCCGATCAACAAATCAACTTCTGGCCCAACCGAAGGTTCGAAGAAGTTTGCAGCATCGACCCACAGGATAAATCGAGCACGAGGTCCAGTGATTCTCGCTAAAATTACGTGTCGCGTGTAACCATGGTATTTCGGGAAGAACCGCAAACACCGATTCTCGCGACGCGTAACCAAATGCAAATATGTATTTCTTTCGGGGAGGAGGTTCGCATAGGTCATGTTGAAAAATGACGACGAATTACAATAAATCCTCGATGAGTATTCGAAGGCTCTTCGACACACTGGCAAGGAAAGATCCTCAGGTGTAACGCTGACATTTTAATTAGGTTTAGCACAGTGATTGGTTTGTAATTCTGAAGCCAATGATATTTGTTTCAGCCACGTATGACCATTAGCTTATGAAATATTTAATGTTCAGTGACGAGGACTCTTCGAAGACTCATCGAGGATTTACTGTAGTCAGCGTACCGCGCTCGATCGCGGGTAAGAACTCGACTCGCAACTCGGCATCGCGTAAAATCGGTATAGGAATCGAAAGCGGATCGGGGAGGCGCGCGGAGAACGGAATCACGTATGTACGTGGCGCGAACGGTTGCGAGTAAAGTCGATCTATAAATAATCGAGCGGAGTATTTCCAGGCCCCCTTTTACGCAACGTGTCAACGATAAGGATAAGCCTGCGCGAACGTTGCCTTCCAACTTGTTGGCGAACGGTTCGCTGCATTCGTTACGCGAACCAACCACGTAGTGTCGCGTTCCGAATACGATTTTCTTCGATCTCCGCTCGAATCCACGGTTATGTTCCCCCGTTTCGGAAGTCCGTTCTATTCGTGAGAATCGCACGGACGATAATGAAACGTTTCACAGGTGTGAACGTTCGAGGTGTGAAAGATTCGGCGAGAAGAAAAAGAGTAGCGAACGACTCGTTGAAAAGAATTATCGGTTATGTTCCAGCAGCGGGAGGGGAATACGTGCAAAAATAGCCTCGTTCGGGTTCGTGTAATCGCAAGGTCGCGACGCTGTACCGCGAAAACTTTCAAGTATACGAGATGCGACCCACGGGTTCGTCGGTTCGATTACGTTCGCGTTGCGTTTCGAAAAACGCGTCGAGTCACGGTTTACCGTGATCGTTTTGCCTTCCCCTTGAAACGACTCCCTCGATCGTTGACCCCGTTCCGTAAATCCACGCGACTCGAACCGTGTTTCGATCGATTATTATCGGGATATCTTACGGTCCCGATCGCAGGAAAGTGTCCGAGGATCTGTCCCCCACGGATCCTCGGAAGTGACACGTCGTTGAAACACCCGACGAATAATCGCACCGATCGGAGGGTGGTGAATTTCATTGTGGATCTCTATAGTACACTCGCGTGTGAACGAAGGTCGAAGAGCAACTTACGTTATGAAAAAACGCGTCCGCTGGCTTGGGCACGTCATTATCACCTGTAAACAGAGGAAAGTGTACGGTTAGGGTACAACGAACTCTCGACCCGTTTTTTCGATTTCTTTTTCAATACATTCCTTCGTTGGAGGATCGTACGGCGAGGTCAACGAAACGCGTTTACGGACGCGATATTAATTAAAGACGAAATCCACGAGACCTCGCGTTCATCTCGTTCGAATAGTTTCGAAAATTCGTCCGTTTTGTCGTTCGTAAACGCATTCGTCCATTCGCTTCGAATCGAAAATAATTACAATCATCGATCGATGCGCGAACAAACGCGGTTTTGATCGCCGGCAACCGTTTACAACCGCGTCCAACGTACGGTAACGGAACTCGTTCAAATTTTTCCGGTAGAATGTTGATACACGGCCCCAGCCGACTTACCACGAACGGAACGACATTTCCAATATGTATGTACTTGAATCTGATTCGTGCAATTTGCCCGATACTTGTGTGTATGTAGTTTCCCCGTTGCAAGACACCGAATAAACACTTCGCAGCCCGAAAATCGAAAGTCGAAGCGTAAATATGTACGTCGAAGTGTCTGGTTTGCCGATCAAAATAAACGTTAGGATCGCTGCGGCCGATGTACAATCGCGGGGCAGCATAGCTCGCCAGTTTGACAGTAGTCCCTCTAATTCCGTTTACAAACAGATAATCTATTTAAATCGTAACCCGACGCGTCTCGTGTCGGCTTTCGGAACAGTCTCGGAGTATAGACCCTTGTTCACGCGACGAGAGGTCGAATTCAGAGGGGAGGATTTCATGCAAATCTATTCTATGCGATGCCCGATCGAAAACTTACCTAACAACATCTGTTCCAATTTCCGGCGATCAACGCGAAATCTCTCCTGGTGTAGGTCGTCCGGATTACCGATGCCCAGCACCGCCGCGATGTCCCGAAGTTCCTCGCGGCTTTCGAAGCCCGATTTTCCGGACACACTGGTCGCTGCTGTGCCCTCCGACGTCTCGGACATCGTCTCCGTCGCTCTCCTCTCGTTTTGTATCACCTCGTCGGGTCTCATCTTGATTATCTCCGGCAGTCACTCTCAACGATATTCGAGTCGGTTACCTGAAAAACGAAAAATTAATCAAAACCAAAACGGACTGTTCGGGTGAGAATGGCAAAATCAAGGAACAGAGGACTTTGTCACGAGTCTGAGAAAAATCACGTGTTCACCGGAGGGGGAATCTAAAGATCCAAAAGTTTCGTTCGTTTCTGGTCGAAACGATAGGAATCTCGTTAAGTTCGTCCGGTCCGTATAAACATGTCGCGGAAACGCGCCAAGAACCGTGACAAACGGATTCGGTTGCATCGGAAATCGCGCCACGATTCGAACGGGGATGAAAAATGATGATTTTGTTCGTACCGTCGCGTTGTTCCGCGACTTTTGCTTTGGTGCTCTCCCGCTCTCTCTCTCTCGCCCTTTCTCTCTCTCTCTCTCTACTTTTTCCGGTGTTATTCGATGCGTATCCGTGTGCGTTGCCGCGACGCGACGCGACGTACGGAAGCGGCTGGACGAGACGGACGGTCGTTGGCAGGCAGCGAACGCGCACAGGGATGCCGGTGAGCGTAGCGCCGCGGCCGATTTCTCGGAATTCGAGCTGGATTTCGGCGAAGATATCCGCGAGACCGCGACCGTTCTCTGCCTTTCTCTCGCCTGTCTCTCGCTCGCATTCGCCCTCCTTCTCTCCTCCTCCTCCCCCTCATCGCCGCCCCCCTCACCGTCTCTCTCTTTCTTGTCCCCGTCTATCGCCTAAACCAACACCTTTGCCAGCGAAACAGCGAGCAAAAAATTGTTTTCGCCAACGCGCGCGTGTACACGCGAACGCGTACGTGACTAATGCCGTGTCAACTACTTACTTCGGCCGAACAAATAATGCATTCACGATCATCGGCCGTTCGAACATATTCTTCTGTTTTTTCGCTGTCCCGTTCAACCCCGAGCTCCCGGCCGGCCGGGAGGGAGTGGAGGGAACCCCACGCGAATTCAGTGAAACGAATTTTCTTCCGATACGATATCGTTGCGGTTCAAGCCCTGGCAAACTGTTCAAACGGCACACAACGACCGAACTTCTCGCAGGTCATTGCCTATATTATTAATGGATCTTTGTTCTAATATGCGTCGAGCTAGGCAGAGTAAAGCGAAGAACAGTACAAAAATTGTGACGTAGATAGGATAAATAGATGAACAGAGGCCTAGAATTTAAGGGTGTAAAAAAACTGTCTAGGCGAGAAAAATCGATTGCTAGCCGATCCCAGTCGAATTGCGAAGCAAAACAGTGGACACGCAGCGAGTACGAACCTTGGCGATTTTACGATCCCCACGGTGGAATCGCGACGGAAATCTCAGGCGACTCCTCGCGAATGAGCCGCGCGCGCGACGGTGGAAATTTCTGACGACTGTGAACGAAGACGAAAAACAAAGATGATGTCGACGAGGTGAACAAAGAGGAAGCGACGCGACGCCCGGCACGGTACTTTGCCACCTGTTTTCGGCAACTGTTACCTTGACACGGTCGCGAGATACTGATCCGACGCAAAACCAGGTCTTTTCGACGATGTCCTTTTCGCTTTCTTCGTCTTTCCGTAACCCGAGCGACGATTAGTACCGATTTCGACCGATTAACGCCGATAACTCGGTAAACGACTACCCGAGTTACCGAATAAGTCATCGCAACGTCTGTAATTCCGTATACCATCTGTCTGTAGCCCTTTTCCCGTCAAACGGGTCCCATCGTCGCCACACAGCTTCGACGGTCCAATGTTATTATACCTACGTGGCATAATCAATCATCCATCGAAGGTTCGTCGTGCTTTTTTTTTAAGCAACGATTAGACGGACGCTGCGTCGATTCGAAAGTCAATCGACGAAGAAGTTAACAGCATTCATGGAATATGTCGAGGAGCTTTTGGACTCGTTCGTGCTCCTAATCGTGTTCACCTCCTTCGGATCGTATAAGCCTTCCGCCTTATCTTGCTTGTTTTAAGTTGACCGAGCCGCGCTTTCACGCCGCGATCTTTTCTTTCGCGCCTCTCGAGGACTTTCCCTTTCGATCCATGATTCCCGTCCCTCTCTCCTGTCACTTCGACCTGTAACGATTTCAAAATATTGTAAACGGCCGGGTTAAGGATGACACACTCGGGGGCAACAACCGGATTCACGGTTTCTCGGTTTTCTTTCCATCGAATTCGGGATATTTGTGCAAGAACGCCGAGTTTTCACGATTTTTTATTCTGCTCTTTCTGTGCTAATAGATTAAAAGGAAGGAAGTAAACGTAGGAGTTTATTCGCGTTTCATTCGTAAGTACGTTCTATTTTTACTGACAAAAAAGTCAGCGAACTCGGCCAGTTTTGAAAGAACGCGGTATTGTTAATCTGTGAATTTAACGCGAGATGTCGACACCTTAGCGTAATTACAATCAGAGAAAAGAAGTCGGTGGGCGCGCGCGCGTACCTTGTTGGTTCGTTGGAAAAATAATAATTTATTCTATACGGTAGAAGCACAAACGTAGACTGGTTTATTGAAACCTGCGACATGAAAGAACAGTGCTGCCAGTTCGTAAATATGTTCTCGTTTCGAATCGCGACCATGTCCTGAAGCCGCTCCGTTCGCGGTCCGCGCCGTACTACGATTACAGAGAGCAAAAAAACCGCGCGACACATGAACATCTATCACCAATTTTGGGTAAACGAAATTATTCGCGGAAAATGCTTCAGACTCTTCGTGAACGTTCGCAAAAACGCAAGAAACTCTTAGCGCAAACGGTGAGATGAGTTGCATTACATTTTCGAGGTTATGATTTCGCAAACTGGTCGAATGGAACGATATATGTGTGAAAGTTTTCTTTTTTTTTTTTTTCTTCTAGCTAGGAGTTTCGAGCGTGGACGAGCTACGACAAATTTTGGGGACAGATGTCGATGACACGCAGAAAAAACGAGTAAGATCAGTGTCCGAAAGGTTAGTGAACGGAGCAAAAGATTCGAAAAGTGACACTGGTCCGACAGACGAGATCGTTTACAAGGATTCTTCGACGTTTCTGAAGGTACGGTGAACCGATAGAATTAGTTCAATAATTGTTCAACTACAGACACGTAATCCAACGGCTAATTGGCTGCACATAGGGCACACAGTCGTCGAATCCTCACAATGATTACTGTCAACATTTCATCGATACGGGTCAACGGCCACAGAACTTCATCAGAGACGTGGGCCTCGCGGACAGGTTCGAAGAATATCCGAAATTGCGGGAGTTGATCAAATTGAAGGACGACTTGATAGCGGAAACTGCTACTCCACCCATGTACCTGAAAACGGATTTGCTCTCTTACAATCTAAAGGAACTCAACTGCAAATTCGACGTGATACTGATCGAGCCCCCATTGGAGGAGTATCAGCGCACATGCGGTGCGACCAACGTTCAACTTTGGAATTGGGACCAGGTGAGAAAAGAGAGAAAAAAAAAAGGTTGGCCTGTTAAAAATGTTGTCCTCTTCGCAGATAATGGAACTGGATATCGGTGAGGTGGCAGCGAATCGAAGCTTCGTGTTCCTCTGGTGCGGCAGCAGCGATGGCTTGGACATGGGACGATTCTGTCTTCGCAAATGGGGTTTTAGGCGATGCGAGGATATTTGCTGGATTCGCACCAACATCAATAATCCGGGACACAGTAAAAACTTAGATAGCAAAGCCGTACTTCAAAGGACCAAAGAACATTGCTTGATGGGAATCAAGGGGACGGTCAGACGATCCACGGACGGAGACTTTATTCATGCCAACGTGGACATCGATCTAATCATATCGGAGGAGCCCGAATACGGTTCTATAGAGAAGCCTGTCGAAATATTTCACATAATTGAACACTTCTGTCTCGGCAGACGACGGTGAGATGCTAAAAACAAACCGAGTCAAAAGTAACCGTACAGTACGAGTCTCCTAGATGCAAACGCGACAAATGTACGATTTATCGTTCCGCAGATTACACTTGTTTGGTCGCGACAGCACAATTCGGCCCGGATGGCTCACTGTAGGACCAGAGTTAACCAACACAAATTTTAACTCGGATCTCTACACCAGCTATTTCACTAACAGTCAGATCACCACTGGATGCACCGAGCGAATCGAGGCCCTCAGACCAAAGTCTCCGCCGCCGAAAGGTAAGGTTACCGGACGGGGTAGAGGCGGATTCAGTCGAGGACGAGGCCGGGGAAGGTAAAGATTGACCTGTTCCGGTCGCGTATAACGCGTCCTGAGACAACGACGACCAAGGTGAAAAGAAATGTCTTGCTACGACTCTATTCTAGAAAGAACTTGTACTTTTCTTGTATTGTACGATATTTCTTATTTTACAGATTTTGACGCCTCGTGTCCAGGACACCGCCAGGCTATATATCGAGTATTCCAAGTCCTTAACCGACTCTGCGACTTTAACGTCGATCGAGACGCGAACGATTTCGCTACCAAATTGGGTACGATTCTGTGTCGAATATATTCACGACCGTCGGCTCTTTTGGACGACGCGTAAATCGAGACAACGTGTCCGACCGCGTGTAGTGAACTTGTCGCAAAATGTTGTATTTATATGTATTCGCATTCTTTTATATATATATATATATATATATATATATATATACATATATATACCATGGGCCGCATTTGCGAATAATGCAATACGACTCGTGTCTGTAATATTTTATAACGCAAACCGTACAAGGAGTTTCTAATAAAAACAGTCAAATTTAAGATCGTCGAAAAAGCGTACAACTTAATATGCGCGACGTGCTCCGAACGCGAGCGTACCATCGGAAAATACACCCGACCGGTCGCCTTCGGACGTACCGCGCATAATACTAAAAAAAATATCCTAACTAATCTCTCGATAACGATCGTACAAAACATCTTAAACATACATATTCTTAAAAAGCGAACGTAACTACTTCGAAACGCTTGAGATCCGGTCCTGTTACTTTGTACTTTATTCGTTGAGAAGATTGAAATTTTCATAAATAGATCTTACGATGATCGACTACATTTACAATTTACACATCCAGGATATGCGGGAAAACTTACAAACAAATTTATTGGTCCCAGTAAAGCTTCCGGTTGTATAGAATACCATCGATAAGTGATTTTCATCTTCCTCGTTGCTTCGACCCGCGAATCTTGGCGAAGTGGCACAATAAAGGGATACGATCGATCGTATCTCGATTCGATGTCCGCGTGAATTTGAAAAAAAAAAGAGACAAGAAGAAACCACCGATATCTTTCGCAGAGATAAAAAGAATACTGCTTTCGTTAAAACGTACAAAGCGGTCTAAGTTTAAAAAAAAAAAGAAGGTAAAGTTAACGTTAGATCGTGGTCAAGCACGACGCGATCACCGTTCTTGGTATAAAAATGTAACGATGCGTGTCACGCGTATCGAGTCTGAATAAATTAAAATCAATCGACAACAAAGTCACATCGATTGTCGTGAGCGAAAAGAGAAAGGTTTTGGGCGACGACGTGTTAGCGATCGTGTCCCTTTCTTCTCCTCCATCGTGCTTGAGTTTCACGCGATGAATCGGTATCGGTGCGCCGCGTCAACGAGGACAGATGTATCTTACAAACGATAAGAATAATTAAGGAGAGCAAAAATCAGACGCAAAAAGCATAAAATTCTTGCCGGTCGCAACTGAGGGGGAATGCGGTTATACACGTGTGGTACGTGCGTTGCGATGGACTGGCGGACGCCGGCTGAATTGGTTGGTTACCGATCGATATCGTCTACGTGCCCCGTCGGGTGGACACCCGTTTTCTGAAAGTAGTCTAGCTCGGATCGGTCCCCGCAGGATCAGTCTAGTTTCAAAGTCACAAATACGTCGACTCCCCTGTAAGCAGAGTCAGCGTCAGTCTCGGTGAAAATGTTCATCCGCAATTAGATAAAAAGGGAACACGCAACCGCGATCGCAAAAGGATCGAGAGAACGAGGGATCGGTGGTAATAGCTAAAAAAAACGAAAGGTAGCTGCGTTCGCCACGTGCGTGGGTGTTCGTATTAAACGAGTCCATACGTGATTCCTCGGATACCAAATGCGCGTCTACCTGCGATCGGCAACGTTCTCATCTTTCCTTCTCCACGTATTTTACGCAGTACCTTCGTCGTCGCGATTCATTTGGGATTACGAACGAAAACTCTTACACCTTAAGTACACGAAACATTAGGGAAAAATCATAGACAAAACGAGGGTTCAATAACCTCTATCGCGTGCAATCGCGGCAGTTTCATTATATCTAGTTGCGTTCTCCGATGCTCGTCGTTCAAACGGAAAAAAAGAAAAAGAAGACGGTAAGTTGGAGGGGGAAGAAATTTTGGATAGTTTGCTCGCATACAATATCACAGAGAAAATAATGCATCTTATTTATATTTTTTTTTTTTTTTTTTTTTTTTGAACATTCCGCATGAAACATATAAAAGTTAATCTTAAGAGGTGTTCACTTATAAAACGGTATTTCATGAGCTCCGTACGTGAAAAAAAGAAATACGTTCGGAAAGCGTGTACGTGTCGCGCGAAATAACAATATCGCACGTACGTAATGCTATTTATCGTTGAAGAATAAAGAAACGTGTATTAGTAAGTTTACCTTGCGTGTAGTTTTAGCGGGTAAAAAAGAATCGGGTATCGCAAACTGTTCGCCGGTGACACGACGCCAATTCGTTGACGCGTACCGATGCGATTAATAAAAACAGTTCGAACGAGGTAAATTTACTAATCCGTTTTGGGTAATTCGTAATTCGATTCTCGCCTGTCACCATCCTAGTGCGAAATTCTCGCCTCTCGCTCCGTTTCTTTCCACGCTACATATATATTTTTCAGTTGAAATTCCCAACCGATTTCTTTAAGTTCCTCCTTGTTTCTTGCCAATTTCTTTCCTTTCTTCTCTTCGCTGTTTTTCTTCTATTCTTTCACGATCGTACCTCGTTCCGACAACAAAACTATAGAACGTAGGAACACGCGCGTTATCCGAATGAAATTCGAATCGTGGGAATAAACGTTCCTCCTGACACACCGTCGATCATCTTTACGTAAACTGCATACTAACGCATTTATCGTACCGTAAACTAACTCTAATTAAATCCATATTCTTACGATAGTATGTTACGTTTACGAGCGATGAGGTACGTACGTTTGACAAGGTCGCTAGAGCGAACCAATTACCCGTTCGTCGCGTAGCTTCGAGTTGTCGGGATTTCGTTTTCAATTTCTGGATCACCCTGTTCCGAAGGTATTCAGGTGCGTATCGTAGCTAGAAATGACGTGTAGTGATGTGACCAGACGGGACGGGAAAATACATTTTCGTTGTCGCTCATTCGCCGCAGCCCCGGGGTAAAAAAAAACACACACACACACACACACATGCACACAGGAGAAAACGAATAGGCTACGTATGTCGAGTTTTTGAAACACTCTTTTTACCGGTCAATCATTAACGATATTTACCGCGCTGGGTCTCGACAAGATACATTGCTCATTAGAAAAAATAAGCTTTTGCTCTCTATTCCTTAGTCGAATGTGTTTGAACTAGAAAGAGGAACAGTGACACGATCGTCGTCGCTAAAAAGAGTCGGGCCTATTCTCGAAGCGACGCGATTCAAACGTTTCGGTTTCGTCGCCATCGTTTCTATTCCCTCGTAGACGATGATACACCATTTCCATCGTATTCGGCACTCGGTCGAAACGACGCAGCTTTTGTTCAGCTCGTCGTTAATCCGCTCGCTTTAACGACACATTACGCGCCGTTTACGCTAAACTTTACATTTATATGTTACACGGTTCCGTTTCGATATCCGAATCCGACGAGCATTCCTTCCGTAATCTCGTTTTTGCTAAATTCTAGGAACATCGCGCACACACCTCTTTTATAGTTTTTCGCGGCGTCTACGGATAGAATCGTGAGTTTTCGATCTAGTGCGTAAAAAACGTGAAAGAAACACTGGAAAACGACCACGGAACGAGAAGAAAAGCGAACAAGGTATTGCGGGCAATCATGTCGCGATGTAACGAGAAAAGTTTCTGCGAAAATTTCCGTCCGTCACGCGCGCGTTCGGAAAACACACAGACACGGAAATTCTTTCGAAAATCACACGAGTACCGGTCGGTGGGCCGCGTGAATTTTCTTGATGTTATCAGACGCAACTTTTCTTTTACAGCGATACATGTATTTCTTTTCGTTTGTCCGTCGATACCAACATTATTACTCTAAATATCATCGCTAACAGTTACCCGACAAATATTATCGACGCTACCGTTATCATTATCATTATTATTTATTATTACCGTTGCTGCTCTCGTCGTCGTCGTTACCGTTATCGTCATCGTCGGAAATCGTTACCGATTCACACGGTTCATTTAACGTTACGAAAATACTCTTTTCTCTTTTTACACACAGTACTGTTTACGCGTAATCTACGCGAAGATAGTTTTGCTTCAACGCCTGATCGGCGTACGCGATCACGTGAAAATATGGCAGACAATGGATGTCCTGTGAGATCGTGCGGTCGCGGAACTCGATCGATTTCTTCGAGTCGCGAGAAAAGACACGGGGGGCGGGGGCGTCTCCGATCCATCGGCAGGAAATTGAAGGAAAAAGACGTTCCATCGAGAACGTATTGTACGTGGCGGTGAGCTTAAGATATCGGCATGGTGAAGCAACGTACTCGAATGATTTTCGATCGATAGCCGACATCGGATTACACCGTGCGATACGGGGAGGAAAGGAAGAATAGGACGAATCGGTGCATACACACACACGCAGAAATACGATGTATCGGTGAGAAATCGAATACCCCGAAAAACTTCGGGAGGATTCGTTAGTTTCGGTTGTTCCACACGTTCGTTGATCGGCGAGGGGGCGTCGTTTCTCGCGACGAGATGTGGCAACGTTCTACCGCATCGGCGTTCAGCGAATACCGATCGAACGATTTAACGGGAAACACGATACAGTCGAGCTTGCAAGATTCCCGCGGCGATACGCGAACGGTACACCGAAGCAGAAAGATGGATTTCCTCGGATGACCTGGTGATGAAGAACTCACAAAACGTCTATCGTTCCTCCGTTCGAGAGAAGGCGGTATCGGCCGACCCGTTGGTCCATGTCCACTAGGGGGTGAACAGACAGAGACACACAGACACAATTTGGTCAGTTAATATCGTATACAGACATTTATTTCATAGCTCGACTCTCTACGTTTATGTACGATCCGGTGGAGGGCGAAGCGAAGTCTTGGCCGAATTAATTTGTCTCTTCTCCTTTTTCTCGCTATTCGTTTTTCGTGCATTCTTGATTCTCTGTTCGAGGCCAGTTCTGGCATTTTGTCCAATTCCGTTTCGTTCGTGTCCGCTCGAAACCGAACGTTTTACCACCTGAATTGTCGGTGGTAAAACCGCGACAGAACTGCTCGAACCACTCGTACCCCCCACCGTATGCAGTTTTACAAAGAGCTTCGAATACACCAACGACATACCTTGCGACATTACACTTTGCGCATGCAAAAGAACAGGAGATAAGAGAACGACGAAACCAACGCGTTTGATTGAAACGACAACGATAACGTAAACCAAAAGAAGAGTAGTTGAGTGGTTGCAATTTTCACGAAGCTAATAAGGGTACACAGAATCGTTTGTTCGGTGGCATCGGAGTACATTACGAACGAAACTAACGTTCGATGCAGCATCGCGGTACTATGTACAAAATTTCGTAGGAAATCAGGATATTCGATGGTCTTCCATGTTCACGTTTCAATGCGCGTATATTTATTTGCCCAAAAGCAGTGATAACCGAGGAGTGTTCGTATGCGTCAAACGGCAGATATATGTAAGCGTGTTCGACGATAAGACGCGAGTGAAATTAATACTCTACAAGAGAATCGGAAAATGTAATTAGAAAATATATACACTCCGAATGTACTACTTTACCACTGTAATGTGTGCGCACCCGCGTATAAATAAAACTATATGTTACAGGAATATATTCATAACATAAGATTACGTTTAAAAACCGCTAACACTTTATTAGCGACAATAATAATAATAATAATAATAATAATAAGAATCATAATAATATTATTAATAGTGATGACGATAATAATAAAAATGTCTCTGATAGTGGTACTGATGTAGCATTAAAACAGTAGTAGCACTTCTAATAGAAAAGATATTAAGAGTAGTACTAGCAGTAGTAGTATAGTAGTTGTGGTGGTGGTGTCGGTGGTAGTGATAGTAGTGGTGATGATAGTAATAGTAGAAGTGATAATAATAATCATAATCATAATAATAATAATAATAATAATAATAATAATAATAATAGCAGTAGAAGCAGTAATAATAGCGGTAATAATAAGTAATAAGAATAAATGTATAACAACGGTACACTTAATAATGAAAAGTATAATAGTATCACAAAATAATCGTTACACAATACACGATAAAGATGCTGTGTATCAATTTTACATGTTTCAGACGTTACAAAAACCTGCAAAACTACAATTATCAACTATTAACATGCAACGATACGAAAATCAGAATAATATTAAAACATGTACGGGCTTCGATATTCGTTCGATGTGGCTGAGGGTGCGATAAAAGATACGATCAACCTCGAAGTGCTTTTTCATTGTGAACTTAGACAGTGGTCAGACACTTCTAAAGCTTTCGTTCTTTGTACACTATATCGGTTAAAACGAAGAAAACTGTCACGCGTGTTCAAGTACGTTACGACCTAAAACGGTAAAAAGATTCAAGAAGGAGGCGCGAACACGCGATACAGTTTTCACCAAGTATCTGAAAGATAACCACAGTCTGAATTTCGAACATTACTCGAACTGTTTCAACGTTTTCTTATTGTATATACAAAGACTGTATCAACAGTTTTTATAGACGCATTCGCTAATCAATCCGAATTCAAAATCCTTCGTCGTTTTGAACTTGGTAAGTCGGTCGCGGGTTTCTTTTTTCGCCAAACGAAACCTAACGTAACGTCTGTTACATCCGTAATGATTTTTCAACGAAACACGCGAAACGCTTTAGCATCACTTTTCTAACGACTTCGCTGCTAACTTCCCCGTAGTACAGAAGCGTGTCAAAATGTAATTTTGTCGCTCCTTGGAACGCAAAAGTTACTCAAAGAAAACAACGAAACTTCAATTTCTGTTGTACGGTTAACCATTATTTCTGATTGAAGCTTTGCATTAAAATCGGGGGAAAGGCAGGAGTACTGCCGTTGAAAATTGTATCGATATCGATATTCATTGAAAAATTTCAACGGGAAACGTAGATCTCCGTAATGTATAACATGGTATAAAGGTGCGTTTAATTTTGTATCGCAATTTGTACAAAATTAAAATCCATGTCACACTTGTACAAAAGTCTAGAAATCATCGCACCCTTTAGACCATGTGATACATTAAAGGTATTTAATTTTCCTGTTATAAATTTTCTATAAACATATAAATACCTAAGTTTTACTTTTACACCGGTTAACCCAGTGTTTCCCCGCAAGGGATTCTAAATAATCTATTCGATCATTTTCACGGATAATACGGATCATCAGTTTCAACGATTGCACGAGGCACGGGTACGAACATCCAGGAAATGTCAGTTTTAAGACCGCTTCTTTAAAACTGAATTTTACCGAATCATTCGATGTTCCCGTGTATACTCGAAGGAAATTGCATGTGACTTTTTCGTTCTTACCAAGTATTCTGTTCACCAACAAGGAAAGAAATGAAACGATCTAATTTATGCTCGATCAAGTAACTACAAAAATTCAATAGATAGAATATAGTTCTATTTCGTCGTGATCATTTAAATTTAAATTATACGGTACGGTTCTTTATTCGTCACCGAGAAATAAAATCTTCGAAAATTGCACAGCCTGTTAATATTAAATGTATTTCCATTACAAAATCAAAATAATGAAATTTTCTGTACACGTGTACGGCACGTTACTAACTTCGTCTACGACTGTTCACGCAACGAAATCATCGCTTATTTCCAATCTTCGCTGCTGCTTTCCAATAAACAAAGAATGAATGATCACAAGAAGCAAGTCAATCGCAATATTCATGACTCGAGTTTGACTGCTCCTCATGATGCAATCACGTACGGAGGAGTACAAATCATCGTGTCACTTGTTCCCGTACTTATTACGCCAGTGAACTGTTTCTGCAAACTGGTTTTGTCCCACAATTTCCAAACAAATACTAGTTTCGTACATAGTACGTTATTATCATATATAAAATTGCGTTTACGCAAGACTCGATATACATCGATTTCAATGCTAATAATTCTCTTATCTAATATAAAATTCGACTATTCCGTAACGGACAATAATAATTAACAATCAACGAAGCGAAACACTTTGAAAATCGAAAGAGAGAAAAAAAACACGAATCATATAGACAAATTATATACCTAATGGGCGCCAAATGATTTCCCATAAAAATTAAAAGTAAATAAATAACTTGTGGCAAATATGCTACTAAAGAAACATGCAATGAATGTCTGAGTTTATAAACAGTTTCAAACTCGGACCACTGAATGGAATCTTCCATGCGATTTATGGTGTGTCGATGTGGAAAAATATCTGAGCTGTATCATCTTTCGAGTAAACGCCCGTCGAATTAAAATCAATCGATCGATACGAAAATCTTCTGTTAGACAGAAATATTATAAATCCTACGAGAATAGCTCTCACGCTATGAAACAATTTCAAAAGTTCGTTTGTCGAACGAATCTGTTTCGTTGAAAGAGAAAAGATATCGATTCGATCTACACGGTATACGTATAACGTTGTTCGTTGCTGAACAATAAAGGGTGAATGCATTTAAAGTGGTCGATCTCTTAGCATTTCATGCTGGCATACCAAAAAGCTGATAGTACGAACTGTTTATCATAAAATTGTAAAGCTTGAATGCCAGTTCAGAGAACTGAAGTAATTTTAAGTACAAAGATATACATATACACATACACATGTGCATGTGCACACACACAGACAGACACACACACACACACGTATATATGTACCATGTATTTTTCATTACGTATCTAAGGTAGCTGAACGTACGAGTGCCGAAGAACATTTGACGTTACTAGTGCTCTGTCGATGACTGCTTCTACTTTTTTCCCCTCGCGAGAGTAAACCTTTCGCAGTTTCTCTGAGACTAGCTCTTTGGTGAGTACTAACGTGTGTACGGCTACTGCTATGTGTAAGGGGATGGTGATTCATCACCAGAGATGCAGAGGACTCACCAGATTCCCCATCTTCATCTCCGGTTGTATCTCCGGTCGTATCGCATTCACTGCTCTCAGCTTCACTCGATTCACTAGGGGTTTCTTGCCCGCCCATTCCTATTTGTATAGCTTCTCCCGTTCTGTTTGTCGTCGGTGGCACAGTTTGCGATATACTACCGCCCACTTGGTGCATAAATAAGCTAACCTGCAACATTCAAATGAATCGAATGAAACATTTGCCCGCATACCGAGTACGACAAACGTACGATAATTTTCACGGGCAGCCTTTCCCTCGGTTATCGAAACTTACTTTAAAATTTGCACTATACGATTTGTGATGTTTATCCTTGTGTGCATCGTCCAAGCCCCATTTATCTATACTTAACACGAGTGTAGGTGGCATAGGTCCGAGGCTAGCCAGTGACCCTGCTCTGTGTGTCATATGCGACATTACCATTGGCAATTCCATAGTCGTGCCATCGCAACTCAATGCCCTTGTCGAACGATCGATTGGTAACTCTCCGTTATCGTACTCTGATGTTAAGTAGTCTCGCACAAAGAACGTATTAAACCAAAAATGAAACAATTTCTCCTAATAACAAAACAAACAACTAGGTTCGCCCTTATTCCATAACAATAATTTATATTATAGTTAAACTGAAACAAATACCTTTCGCTTCATTTTTGGTCTATTAAAAAAATCCACTCGTATGTCTCCTGTCAGGCCGACACTGTGTTTCAATGGGATACAGACGGTGCTTATTCCTTTTCGAACTTCCACTGTATCTGAACTAAATATCCTCTTTTTCGACTCAGATATTACACACTGCAAATCTAAAAAATACAAGGATGTATGTTATCATATCCTGTATCCAACTTATTTTTCTTTGATTAGGCTATGCATTCAATCATTTTCTCTTACATCCCTGACCTCCGTGAAAAATAGGCGCTGGATCTAGTTGTATCTTCCGCAACACCAACGTAACCGGTTGATAATTCAAGTTCTCCTGAACTAGAGTGGCATAATAATCAACGTACCTTCTCTGAGAAGGAATCGTTACCCCCTTTCTGTGTAATAAATAATCAAATGAAATTAAGATCTATATGTGAGATAACACTTATAAAAGATCGTTGCTGGAATTACTTACCTGTCGTGCGTCCTTTTAGTTCCATAAAAGCTAAGAGCATCTGTGGCTGTCGGAAATTGTCTGGTGTGAAGTAGGTAACAACAAACCATCACGCCTGTTCTACCTTTACCTGCTTTACAGTGAACTACGGCTACGTTTTCTTCGTGTTCGGAAAGCCATTGGTGTACATCTTCGCAAAAAGGTTTTATTTGATCCAGCATCGGCGGATTGTGATCGTCGAACGCATAAGTAGCTACCCGTTGATTAAACTTTTTAGAGTCGTACGACCTCTCCGAACAGCTGAAAAACATTTTGTCTTTTCATTTTATCTTAGGTACTTTTTAATGTGTAAACGTAACCCGAAACTTGAAACTTACAGATTGTAAATTTTATAATGGTCCTTATGCCTAAATTCCAGCAATTTAACAACATCATCTATGTGGTTTCTATAAACTCCTTCTAAATTTTCAGCGGGGAAACCCATCGCTATCAAGTTATCCCTGATGTCTGCCGTTAATAAATTGTAATTATAATTGTATCGCTAATATGGACAACTAAAGTAGAAAGGATACATGTGAGATCAAGATCAAAACCATCTTCTGTGAAACGTTTACGACGTTTGCTCACAAGACCCTTGATGCGGTTGGTCATCTTCATATTACTGATAGTATTGGCCATGCTCGAACGACTGTGTTTCAAATCTTCTGCCTCAACCCTAAAGAATTCAGTCTCCGCTTCTTCTTCACTACACCTTTCTTCTGCTTCCTGCTTTTCAAATAATTTTTTAGCCTGGATAGAACAAGGTGTTTGCAGCCAATTATTTAAATTCTCGTTTCGAGTCTTAGGCCATTTACGTATTGACGACTAGTCGCCGAGCGACCTGAAACCAGGCTATAAATGAACGAGGAAATTAACTGGGCGGCTCGAAAATTATCAGCATTGCGGAGACCGTCGAGGAGATTGCCATAATTGTTAAGTGCTGTAAATAATACTGTAACAAAAGAATATTGTTCGCTGTATTTTCCAAAAATGCAAAGATGAACGGCCGCCTAAAGGTTTTAAGAACGTGACTTCTAGGAATATCTGGATTGAGTGGGAGAGACCTGAGTTCCCATTCTTTTTCCGTGTTTTTGTAGTCGCCGGCGACTCGGTGCGTAAGCTCTGACATATTCTCATGCACATAGTAGTCGCTGGTGATTAGTCGTCAGTGCATAAAGAGCCTTAAACGTTGAATGATTTAGTATACCTGTGGCTTACGAGCCGAGGCGTCACAAGAGCCCAGTTCTGGTCCTCTTTGTTCCTCCAGACAAACATGGAGGGGTGTTACTGATGCTGAGATATGCTCTGAGATTTTATTATTTAGCCTGCTGCCTGTAGGTCTCCTGCAGGAAAAGCATATACCCATCAATTCCCAGAGCATGTGTGCCTTCTATAATCCATTTCATTGAGCTTTTCTTTTTGATAGTTTGATATTAGTATCACTAAGGCAATCACCAGTTCGAAGTAACTACTAATGAATAATTTGCACGAATGTAAACTTGATAATGTCTGAGAACACTGCACAATGTGGTATACGAACAAACACTGTACGTAAGCTTATGTTCGACAATTATTATAGACTTTCATACAAGTCTTGTCTAAAGAAAGGACAAATCACAAATGAACAATGATAGACTTAACATGTATCTCTGTAACGAATACCAATAAATACGTTGTACACTGATACTGGCAAGTGGTAAGAAAATCACAATCAAGGTGAAGGAGAAAAAAATGAAAATAAACTTACAGATTGATTTGAATGTAAATGTTACATGCGAAATTGTTAAAATCGTGTTTCCACAAATACTGCAAAGTCAATCGTTCTAACGTTCGGCAATAAAATTAAAATTAAAAGTGTACTAGAAGTATTTTCAATGTTTTATAAAGCTAGTACCATTCGGAGTCTCGGGACTTTCGATGCCATTAAAAACACGTATTGAAGTGGCGAGAAAAAATCGCAGTCGACACATAAAAGAAAAAAAAAAAGAAAAACAATAAACAGCAGTTTCCCTGATTCGCATTCACTTGGTTACGAATTCGTTATCGAAAGAACATTACTCGCAAAAAAACGCCGTGTAGAAGCGTCGACGGAAAGTTAGGTTAAGCACCGTTTGCAATACATCACAGAGGCCACTTAACACCACATTTTCATGCCAGTTCCACTGATGCACCGTTCGCGGCCTTCTCAATTAGCAGTTCACATGACGTTCGCGGAGAATTTGCTTGAGATTTCAAAGAAAACGTTCGAGACACCATATTACATTTGAAAAGTACAGAAGAAATCTTTCCTCGCGTGTAATGTGAAATTCAGAGCAGTGCTTTTGAAGCATGTTCAATTGCAATTCAACGGCACTCCCAGTTACGGTGAATTTCTAAAGAATAATAATAATATTCAGTAGAATTTCTCAGGAGATTCATAGAGTTCGTTTTGCTTAACTTCTTTGGATCGGCAAGTTTCATTTAATCAGTTGAGACGAAAAGTAAACTCGATAACAGACCTCCGTTCACAGTAAGATCACGTTCCCATGGTTCAATCTTGTCATAGCGTCAAAGCAATAACTCGAGCTTGATTCGTGTTCTATCGCGAGAGTACAGTGGTTTTCGGAGACGACCAGAAGTTTAGAGATGCATCAAAGCGATAGATATTCACATATACGCTCATGAAAGACAACAGCAATCCCTACGTTACTCTCTTGGTTTGACAACGCAGGTACAGAAGCGTAGCACGTTGGTATATCAGTATACGCATACGCGACACGCACACTCACCGACAATGCATAGAATCATGCACCGCAGGTGTTGCAGAGATCAGTCCACTCTGCGAATGAATGCCACGATGCTCTAGGCAGGATTTTACGGATGATCGTACCGGAATCCGGCTGCTGCCGTCGTTCTTCTTTTCGCGTTTGCTCGCATTTCTTCGTCGTATAGTCGATTGTATGAAACCGACCGGTAATAATAGCAAAAGTCACGCTTAATTAGCAAACGAAAGTATTCCTTGTAACATCCATTTCAAGCACAATTTACATCCGATATGAAATCGAAAGTCTTCCGTAGCCACCTTTGTCACTAGGAGCGCCATTCACAATGACGCGTTCGTGCCGCGCTCGATTGCGTTTCTTTTTGCTGCCGTTTCGTTAACACGTTTACCTTTGCCTCCCGAAAAATGTTCTTCACTCTTCTCGTCTATTCACGGTGTGCCTCCGACTTTACGGCCGTAGCTCACCGGTCAAAGGGAAGAAGAGGGGAAAGGTAGAGGCTCGCAGAGGCTTTGTCCTCCTAGAAGTTTCATTCCCGGAAACTTTCGCTGCTAATGAGACGCTCCGTCAGTATCCTTTTCTCTGCGCATGCGTCCCTTCTTTTTCCCCATATTTTTGTGCTCTTTCTTCCTATTTACCGATTGTTTACGCCGAATCACAAAGATTAAACTTGTTTCTCTACAAATTGTGTTTTTCGAATAATTCATCTTTTTGTTAACGATCTCTTCTTTTGCATATGTTTGTCCGTCGAAAATTTCGCTTCTTCCCTAGTCGTCCAATTCAAATTTAAAAGGACGGTATCTACTCACGCTATGTATGTACTATACTTATAATTACAAACAAATTCAAATTTTGACTAGAAATGATATGCTTCTGAGATGACCGCAAAATTTAATTATACGGTTACGGAAATACCTACTGCGATTTATTTACCAAATAATCTTCAGCAGTAAGTAGTTTCGAAGTAATCCCTTAATTTTTGTTGCATTAGGAGAACCACATAACACCTTATTGCAGTTAATAAAAATCTTTAACACTTTTACTGGACTATTTTGTATTCTATATACAAGATACTTTGTAAATAACATTGCGTAGCAAAGAACGTAATATTTTTATAGTACTCGGGATTATACATTTTCTATGTATACTTTGCAATTTGTAAGTAATGAATGTATTGCTTTACTTTTCGTGTTGTGTGTCTCTATTAACTAAACGTTGTAATTCTATGAGGTTTTCGAAATTATTTATACAACTAACAATTTCATCAGTTAAGTTTCATATTGGATTAGTGTAATTATTTAACTAATATAAACATTGAAGATCGTTTGCATTACTACTTACGATCGGTAATAAATTTGTATGCACAAATAATGCATGAAGCATCGATTTTGTCTGTGCAGATTGAAGTACCCTTGACTTTGCTGTGTTCGAATGAATTAATATGCCAAACCTTAAAAATAAATAGTTACTATTAAAAATTAAATTTTAAGTATTACTTGCTTAGATATGCTTAAAATACTAAAGATTTTTGTATTAATAACAATTGAAATTTACCTCTTATTTACGAAATACAATTACGATTTAGTTTGTTCATAAATATGAATGTTTATACGCATAGATATAACAGTGACATGATAGAATTTATACAGTAATAACCAAGATATATACTGATTCTATTTTAAGACACGTTACTTTTGAAGCATTTATTATATACACGCGCATCAACACACACAAAAGTATATTTAGGAAAAATGCGCATGTGACATGAGGCTTCCAGTACACCAAAAATAATCTTTAATAAAGTAAAAATAATTTAGTAAATTTCAGCGATGACACAAAAATACTGAAAGATTTTCTTTGTACTCAATTAATCTGTCGAGGTGTGGTTATTTTTTAAGGAACACTAGATTTTCTATTTTTTTTCGTAATACAATAAATCACGCATGCATGCACTGCATGCGACAAAACGTCTACGTATTTTGAAATTTTCTTGGCTTGGATAAGCATCCGCTGTAATTTCGTGTTACGTACACATTAGATACATTTTTCACGTGCAAAGATTCATTCGAAACTGCATATTATGCATCGACTGTGTAACTTTAATATGATTTGATTTCTTCGTGACTTGGCAGAATTATTGTTTTAAATGTAACCGTATGAAAGCCATATTAAAAAATTATATTTTCCTAGCCTTTTTTTTTTAGAAAATGTAAAAATTCAATGTTAACGGATGAACGGTACTATTTTTTTTTTAATCTAAATCTAATTTAACCGTGCCGAGTGTACCCGTATGTAATTTAGATGTTTTCATTTTTTTATATGATGTGACAAGATCTTCCATGGTAATAGGTCGTACAGTGTCATGATATTCTTCACCGTCGGTACTAGTACATGTTTCTCTGAAAAAATTGATTAAAAATGACTATCCAGTAAAGGTTCCATCATTCACAAATTATTAAAAGTGAATACTAACTGCGTATGAGTACGTAAGTAATCTCGGACACGATAAACAGATGCATTTCTACAAAGTTCTTGCAAATCAGAGCCAGAGAAACCTTCTGTCATTTTTGCCAGTCTTGGAATATCCACATTTTCGGCTATTGGCTCATGTTCCAATATCAATTTCAATACTTGCATTCGTTGTTGTTCATTCTGCAACATGGGCACAGTTACTGGATATAAGACACAAAAGAATAATCCAATTCTTTATAGGCATGAGTATGAAAACATTTTTTGTTAACAGTGAGTTAATGCAAATTTGTGTAAATTTTATTTACTGGTAAAGGAATATGGAAAGTAGCTGGCATACGCCTGAGTATTGCTCTGTCCAGATCCTGTGGCCTGTTAGTAGCACCCATTATTATTACTGTACAAGATGAGTCTGTAATTAATCCATCCCAAAGAGACATAAACTGTGCCTTCATCATGGCAGTTGCTTCATGGTCTTGTGAATTACGTACTCGTAAAAATGAGTCTGTGAAACCAAGGAGCCAAAATATCATAAAGTATTAGCAACACATGTATTAAAGAACAAGTTAAAATTTCTAATTTTGTTCCAACAAACCTATTTCATCAATGAAGATGATACATGGTTGAAGTTTTACAGCAAGAGAAAAAACTGCTGCAGTTAATTTTTGGCTTTCACCATACCATTTATCGGTTAAAATGCTTACATCTAAATTAATAAAGCAGGTCTTTGTTTCTTTAGCAGTAGCTTTGGCTATCATTGTCTTGCCACAACCTGGAGGTCCGTGCAATAATACTCCCTACAAATAAAATTTGTGTGAATAAAAGGAAATTACATCATAACATGCAATATTAAATATGTACCTTTGGTGCTTGGGTTAACTGAGAGTCTTCAAATAATTCTTTCCTTTGTATAGGTAGGATAACTGTTTCTTTAAGTTCTTGTATGACATGTTCAAGGCCTGCAATATTTTCCCATGAAACTCTAATGTCTTTAGGGTCCACAATGTGGTTGGCTATCATCATTTCATAATCTGTTAATTGATCCATGTCTACTGACCACAACAGGTTATCCGTTTTAGCTAATTTGCCTAATTGTTCACGTGCCTAAAATACATTTAATATCACATTCATTTTGAAATAGAATATAAAAAGTAAGGTTATTCTTTTAACTTGTGTACAGGTTGCAGAGGTTATGTAAGAAACAATTTTTTAATCTATAGATGGATAAGTTTTTCACCTTTTTCCTGGCTTTCTTTTTCGCATTATTTGTGGGATCGAGTTGATTCATGATCCATTTCATGCTAAAAAATCCAACTGCCGCAACAAAGGATACCCTTGCAACAAGCACGAATACCTCTGACCGTGTATAACCAACCCCATCCGCAACGTTCATCGTTTTATCAATATTTATTTGAACCTTGTCTATAGATAAATTCGTATTTTGTATTAAACCGTAACATACACGTCTTACAAATTTAACAAGCTACTTTGCTACACTCCAACCTTTAACTCGATGGCTTTCCGAGAAAAGAACAATCGCGGCATACGAAACCAAAGGAACACTGAAAGCATGCGCAGATCATCCGCAAACATGAACATATATAAATCTGTTAAAACAAGATTTCCCGCGATTATCGACATTACTAATACAATTCTTATTAAAATAATATAATACTTATGCCTGAAAATATTAGTACCACGTGTTAAGATCTATTTACTTACGTACATGAAGCAGACTATAATTCAAGTCCTTCAATTGTTTCACGCTCAGTTCTAGGCCATAATCCAAAGATCAGTTTACGCATATATTTACTCAGGATGGATACCATTTCTTTGCACGTAAATAATTTTATGATGTTCTTTTTGAACACGCGTATTATTTGACAGAAAAAATATTTCATTTGCATAAATATAGTAGACAAAGAAGAAAGTATTAAAGTACATATATACATCACCTATAAATATTCGAAAGCTAAACTTGACTTAAATATCCGCTAAAGTTTCCACAATCTTGCATGGTATATTGATCCCGTTAAATCTAAAATCGTTCTATCATTTGAGATCCATCCTTTTTTGTTTGTGAAATACTTCAATTATAAATCACGCAAGGATGTAGTAACACGCACTATTCACAATAGTATAATACAAAAAAAGTTGTTTATTTACAAATGTTATACTACAGTTATAAAACAATAGAAGTAGTTTCACCTCTCTAATATAACAAACGAATACATATAATGGACGGATAATATATAAAGTGGACGGATACTTAAACTTTATATCTTAAAATTACATCCTAACATATTTTCTTACACTTGTATCAGATCCTATTGTTTGTCCACCACAATTTGTTACTCTGAATATCTGTTTGGTAGAAAAAGATGCCATTGTTCTCACCAATGGATTATTTGTTATAAATATAATTTCATTAAATTTCGCTTATAATACGTCCTTCATTGACAAGTATAGCTTGCTCCTCCTACTTCGCGTGATAAGTTGTACGTTATGAATTGGTATAGTAACAATATTTATCTTAAAGAGTAGATGCACATTGCGATACTAAGAGGCAATGAAACTATCATCGACAATGACGGCAGTGTTGCTCCGTTACAAGAATCTTCTGAACAAGAACATTCTTCCCAGTACACCCCATTTTCATAAACGCCCCAGTTGCAAACGCCAGTAACTCCGGTACTGGCTACGGAAGAGCATCGGCGGATCACTTGTCGCCATCTACCGTCCCCTTTAACAATTATTCAACATAAATATACCGATCTCAACTGGTTAATTTCAGGTTTATGCTTTTAACGATATAAGAAACAATGCCACACGCGTTTCAAGTTAATGAAACGGAAGCGAAAAAAAATGAAACAAAATGTTTTACGAGACAAAACTTACAAATAAAGCCACGGGGACTTTGATGAGTTACTTTGACACAAAATGTACCAGGCATGTGAGACTCTTCACTGTTGCATTCAACGGCAATATTCTTTTCTTTGTTAAATTTTGCATATGCTCCGCATACATCTTCGCCTTTGGAGTCCGTGTCACTGCTGCATTGATAGCAGCGAATTGCATCGGTACCTAAAATTTAGTCCAACGAACTGTATAGTTTGCTCTACGATTGAATCGTTTTTATAACCTACAACTACACGGAACAACGTTTCCGTTGCTTGTATTTCTATAACGTGAACAAGTTTATCGCCGTGACATTCATTACGACTGCTGTAATAAGATTTTCTTTTTTGAAATTTAGTAAACACACATGCCCTGTTTATAAGATGGTGTTCTCAGAATTTCACATGTACAACTTTGCATTCGATTCGGACGACGACCAATTGTAAAAACTTTTACTTACCTATCACCGTAACCAATAACAAGAGGAAAACAATATCCGCGATTGCATTCATGACTATTCCGTCGATAAAAGTTTCAGTCAACACTACCACCACGCTTGTTCAGCTTTTATTATAACGTCATTCATAGGGCGTTGGTTGGCGTAAGTTTAGACTTCAAATTCCCCTACTCGTCCCTTCTTTTCTGGTGAGCGGTCTACCAGGATCGTACATACGAACAGACGAACCTGCGTCGTGGAAGTACACTTGCGTTATGTACTTTCTTTCTTAACAAGCTCGTTAAATTTATGGACAGATAGTCAACGGAATATTCTCTTAAAATTTTCGGTTAAAATTTTTCAGAAAAATAAAATTTATTTCTTTAAAACTGGTAGTGAAAGTATTCCAGTAGGTGTAAAAGTTGTAATGCTATGTTCGTCCATAGCAGACGTTGGTGGCTTAAAAGTTCCACCATATTTTAGATCTTTTAAGAACAGGGAACAGGAAAAAGAACAAACGAAGGACTCCGGCTTAGAGACGCATTTTTAAACTTCGTTACTCCCCGTAGACTACCGTCGCCGGTTCTTCTTTGTCGCGTCTTTCAAAGTATAAAAAGAGCATACCAGAATAAATGAATCTGATAAACTCTACGAAGACACGCGAACGTTTTTAGGATTCGTACAATTTTTATGAGGATATAAATTTATCATATGGGTAAGCTCGTTACGACGCCTATATAAAGGCGTGCAGCAAAAAAAAAACTACACGAATAATGAATAGAACTTTTTTTTCGACAAATCGACCGCGCAACTAGAAATTTATTTTCTTAATTGGTAGTTCATCGATTGTTTCGAAATTGAAGGGTGGTAAAGTTTGTGCAATACTTTCATCGAGACATATCACCGGCAGAAAAATCATTTGTATTCTGTACACGGCATGACAGATGAATACGAATCACAAGTACCTTCGAAGTAAAATTGGTAGAAATATTAATGGTGGCTTATAAATCAAGGCAGTCAACGTTTGACAGTTATTCAACAAAGAGTTTATTTTCAAAGCTAGTACGCTATTCTCTTTCCACCCTCCATACTCTCTTTCTCTCTCTCTCTCGCTTTTTCTCAGAGCAATGGGTATTAAATAGTAACTTTTGTTAAACTGTCATTTAATGGGAGATCGATTAAACAACAAAAATGATCGTCGTGTTTGGCTTTAAAGAGTTTGCATCGCGACTCGATGAATTTATTTATATAAATATATGTACGCTGTTCTGGGTACGTATACATATATGGAAATGGGTAGCAGTTACCTCTATATGTATATGTAGGTGCAACGACTCGATTTCGTCCGACGAAATAACTTACCGGATCACAAGATGTAAATATGTATATAGTGGTAGGGAGGGTGTACGCACATCAATTAAGCGATTTACATGGAATTCCTTGAATGCAGATTCTCAAAGAGGAAATTATGAGTTCGAAAAATCCGAAGTGAAAATCTTGCAATTTCTCGAGCGAACGGGAGTATCCGCGAAAACTGGCGTCGATAGAAGAATAATTTCGCGGGGCCATTTCGTAAATGGATCTCGAGGCGGAAAGATATAAGCATCGCGCGAGTTCCGGAGCATGTTTCACGGTCGACCGATCACCTCATAAATATTCGTAGGCTAAAGATCGGGTCGATAAATTCGCAAAGGTTCTTGGTTGGCAAGGTTTTAATGGAAACGCGGACGAGGGGGCTCGAGGCATCGGCATGGCGTGGTATGGCATCGCATCGCATCGCACGGCATCGGCATTGGCATCGGTATCGGCATCGGAATATCTGTGTAGGCGCGGAGTCAGCGATGCTTTCGTCGATGTCGTGACACGGGAACGCTTTTCCGACGACACGTAAATAAGAGTTCGGGGGAGGGCTAAAGCGGTTGGAAATAAAACTAGTTTAGATCGAGAGAAAAGTCGATGTGTATCGGGGAAAAACTGGCGTACGCAAAGGCTGTCGTTTCCGTTCTCGTCGATGCACTTTCCTTTTACATAGGCTCTTCTCCGAGCGAACACGGAAGTATTTTTAGTTATCGCGCGTACCAAACGTTCGCTGAAGCGCCTTGTATACGACGGGACTTTTAAAAGGAACGATCCGCGGAGCGAATCTGTGACGGAAAGGGGTAACGGGCGTATGTATAACGTTGCATGCTCAGAGTGTGATGAAAATAAGGAACGACATGCGCGATAAAAGAAAAAGGGATTTTCTGTAAAAGAGGATAAAAACAAAGACGAAGTTCGTCAGAGGTGGCGACGCTAGAAGAACAAGGGGGTGGGGGGTGGGAAGTAGTCTCGAGAGGAACAGACCTTCTCGCTTATTCCTAAGGTAGCCTCGGTGTATTTTTCGTTTCCGCACGAAACAGACCGAGCACGTATCTCGTTAGCGAATCATTAGCAACTCTTCTCGTACTGCAACTGCTGTCGCAGTGAACGCCTGCGACTCCATTTTATTCTTATCGTCGTTTCCTTCAGTTTTCTTCTTCTATCTCGGACCACTTTTCTTCACTTTGATTCTTTACCTCATCTACTGGATAATATCGTCGAGTAATTGTTGTATTTTCTTTTAATTAGATTCCATTAAATCTCATCGATTCTTATTTCGTATATATTTACACATTTTTTAGTTGAATTCTTTCTCCTGGTTCGAGAAGAATATCTATTCTGTTGAATCTCATAGTCAAAGGCGTGAAATGAAAATATATCGTGTTCCGTTGGTCACGTTCGTCTTTATCGTCGATATCCGATGATCGCCAGAAAGCTGCCCGCGGGGAACTTTTAGATATTTTCTCATGTTGGCCAAGCATAATGAAACGGCGCCGAGCGGTGGCAACGGCGGAACGCGACGATCCTTTTTGGGGAATAAAATTACTGCGGGTTCTCCCCCTTCTTTCGTCTTCTTTTCAAACCTCGAGAACCCCGTCTTTGCGGTCTTGGCTTTCGTTCCGCCATCGTTCTCGAACGCCTTTGGCAAAACGTGAATCGACTTCGCGGTAAACAACGAGACGATAACTCAGCGCTGACATTGGCACCGATACCTGGCGTTCTTATCGTATATACGCGACCCGCCGCAGGTGCTGTATTCTCGGCGCGTCCATTGATGCTCTCGTCCACGTATAGAAAACGAGGAGTCATTGAGAATCTTCACGGTAAATCGCGATCGTTTTACCAACACTTTTAAACGATGCCCTTTTATACATAATATGCTTCGTCGTCTTCTTGGGAGCATCTCATTGAAATTCAAAAGCTATCTGTGTCGGTATAACGTTGCATGTAAATATGTATTTGCAAAAGGTGTTTCCTCTACGTAGATGTTGATTCGAGAACGGGCGCGTGCTTACCATTCGATCGGGGGCTTGGGGTCCATTAGGAACGCAAAGGGAAACGTTTCGCGCGGCGAGCCGAGAAGACGAGCTTTCGATAAAGCCGTGGAAGAGAAATTCGAATTTATAGGGCCGACGATCAGGTTTCCGTAAATAGAATAAATTTACAAAGTTTCGGCATCGGGAACAGGTCGATTTTATTCGAGAAGACGCATAATACGATCGCGGCGGGAGCACGGGTACGCGAAAGTTCGAGGACGGATCGAATGAAATTTGAATAAAAATACCGTCTCCCCTCCGGATGGGTTCTCCCGGGAGGGAAAATAAAGCTCGACCTCTCAGCCCCCTCCGAGGGGTCAACCGACCGTCGATCCTGGATTGCGACGCCTTTTATAGTAGCCAGATTTCCGAATAGGCGGTACCGTGTTCCGAATCGCTATAGGAACAAGAAACTACCTCTATACGTAATGCTCTCTTTTCGACTCGCTATATCCTGAACATTGGGTTCGTGACCGTTGCTTTATTCGCCATTTTTATTCGTCGGACAATCAAATCCCTTTGCTTCCGATCGTCTCGATTATTGCGTGAAAACTGTCGAAAAATACGACAAAGTTTCGAAGGGAAGGATGTCGAATGGCAGGGGTGAATTTCGTATGATGTATGGTTATTTCGATTTTATTCAATCCTTTCGTATCGTACAAATATTTCATCGTACTCGGTATATTATACGCGCACTGGTCTTTATAACTGTCGATTGAAAATAACAAATTTTCGGAGCGACGAACACGCCAGACAATGGAACGATAAAGCAGAGGGAGCGAGAACAGGCTTACGGATACGAGGGCGGGTAGGCGAAGGCCTCTACGAGTCTCCGCCTCTTCGAGTAAGACGGAAGGAGGAAATTGGTTTTGCATTACAAAGCCGGTGATCCGTGATAATAGAGCGCCTCATTGGCACAAGTACGAGCACTTACCACCTATGAATCGTCCAATTATATTATTATTCGAAGAGAAATCCCCGACGTACTGGATGCCCCTAATGGGAGACATGAAGCGTACTGCGCCAAAATTCTAATATCATTTCTGTGATAGTGACTGTATACGTGATAACAGTGCTACTTGAGTTCAAGCAGGATCGACGCAGAGTACATAATGAGAAATTCGATGAAAGAGCGTGGGTATTTCCGTTTTTCTTAGAAAACGTTTGTCGATAAAGATTCGCGTTACTTGCGCGTGTTCTGCAATGGATTAAGCTTCACGGCATTGTACCACATACGCTTCGCTGCGGGTAGTTTGTTTCTTGTACATTATTTTGTAGATCATCTAGGTTGCCATTGATGGAAATTTTTAACATTAGTGGTTGATTTAAAGTTTTAATTAATATCAGATTTCATTCGACCCTTGTCGCGTGACTGGAACTGTCATTATTCTCCGTTTCTGATTTTTTCGAAAACTAGAAAACACTCATCCTGAACAAGGTTCAAGCAAATGTTCATACTCAAATAATATTATTTTCCGAACGTTCGAAGTTTTCGATATCAACGGAAACCGGTGTATTCGTTGAACCGCGGTGGGCACTGGCAGAATCATAATACACTCCGTACAAACAACGAGCAGCCATTGTTTAGTACCAGATCGAAACTTTCCGAAGCTTTCCCAGCTCCGTTTCCCTCTCGAAGAAAACCTTCGCGAGGATCGATAGGCAACGAACGAACGAAAAGTTTCAACACGAAGGCCGTGCCATTTTGTCCGACGAAACAATGAACGAAACTCGTCGAAACTGTGTCGATAAAAGCT